TATATATTATCATTCTATATCCCATATAATATTATATCCTCATACTATATATATTATCATTCTATATCCCATATAATATTATACCTCATACTATATATATTATCATTCTATATCTCATATAATATTATCCCTCATACTATATATATATATTATCATTCTATATCTCATATAATATTATACCTCATACTATATATATATAATCATTCTATATCTCATACTACATATTATCATTCTATATCCCAAATAATATTATACCTCATACTATATATATTATCATTCTATATCCCATATAATATTATACCTCATACTATATATATTATCATTCTATATCTCATACTATATATAATCATTCTATATCTCATATATTATACCTCATACTATATATTATCATTCTATATCTCATACTATATATTATCATTCTATATCCCATATAATATTATACCTCATACTATATTATCATTCTATATCTCATACTATATATATTATCATTCTATATCTCATACTACATATATTATCATTCTATACCCCATATAATATTATACCTCATACTACATATATTATCATTCTATATCCCATATAATATTATACCTCATACTATATATATTATCATTCTATATCTCATACTATATATAATCATTCTATATCTCATATAATATTATACCTCATACTATATATTATCATTCTATATCTCATACTATATATAATCATTCTATATCTCATAATATTATACCTCATACTATATATATTATCATTCTATATCTCATACTATATATAATCATTCTATATCTCATATAATATTATACCTCATACTATATATTATCATTCTATATCTCATACTATATATAATCATTCTATATCTCATATAATATTATACCTCATACTATATATTATCATTCTATATCTCATACTATATATTATCATTCTATATCCCAAATAATATTATACCTCATACTATATATATATTATCATTCTATATCTCATATTATACCTCATACTATATATATATATATATATTATCATTCTATATCTCATATTATACCTCATACTATATATTATCATTCTATACCCCATATAATATTATACCTCATACTATATATATATTATCATTCTATATCTCATATTATACCTCATACTATATATATATATATATTATCATTCTATATCTCATATTATACCTCATACTATATATATATTATCATTCTATACCCCATATAATATTATACCTCATACTATATATATATTATCATTCTATATCTCATATCATACCTCATACTATATATATATATTATCATTCTATATCTCATATTATACCTCGTACTATATATATTATCATTCTATATCCCATATCATATTATACCTCATACTATATATATTATCATTCTATATCCCATATAATATTATACCTCATACTATATATATTATCATTCTATATCTCATATAATATTATCCCTCATACTATATATATATATATATATATATTATCATTCTATATCTCATATAATATTATACCTCATACTATATATATATATATATATATAATCATTCTATATCTCATACTACATATTATCATTCTATATCCCAAATAATATTATACCTCATACTATATATATTATCATTCTATATCCCATATAATATTATACCTCATACTATATATATTATCATTCTATATCCCATATAATATTATACCTCATACTATATATATTATCATTCTATATCTCATACTATATATAATCATTCTATATCTCATATAATATTATACCTCATACTATATATTATCATTCTATATCTCATACTATATATTATCATTCTATATCCCATATAATATTATACCTCATACTATATTATCATTCTATATCTCATACTATATATATTATCATTCTATACCCCATATAATATTATACCTCATACTATATATATATAATCATTCTATATCTCATACTATATATATTATCATTCTATACCCCATATAATATTATACCTCATACTACATATATAATCATTCTATATCTCATATAATATTATACCTCATACTATATATTATCATTCTATATCTCATACTATATATTATCATTCTATATCCCAAATAATATTATACCTCATACTATATATATATTATCATTCTATATCTCATATTATACCTCATACTATATATATATATATATATTATCATTCTATATCTCATATTATACCTCATACTATATATTATCATTCTATACCCCATATAATATTATACCTCATACTATATATATATTATCATTCTATATCTCATATTATACCTCATACTATATATATATATATTATCATTCTATATCTCATATTATACCTCGTACTATATATATTATCATTCTATATCCCATATCATATTATACCTCATACTATATATATTATCATTCTATATCCCATATCATATTATACCTCATTCTATATCTCATATAATATTATACCTCATACTATATATTATCATTCTATATCCCATATCATATTATACCTCATACTATATATATTATCATTCTATATCCCATATCATATTATACCTCATACTATATATATTATCATTCTATATCCCATATCATATTATACCTCATACTATATATTATAATTCTATATCTCATATAATATTATACCTCATAATATATATTATCATTCTATATCTCATATAATATTATACCTCATACTATATATTATCATTCTATATCTCATATCATATTATACCTCATACTATATATATATTAGCATTCTATATCTCATATCATACTATATATATTATTCTATATCTCATATCATATTATATCTCATACTATATATATTATCATTCTATCTCATATAATATTATACCTCATACTATATATATTATCATTCTATATCTCATATAATTATACCTCATACTATATAATCATTCTATATCTCATATATTATACCTCTTACTATATATATTATCATTCTATATCTCATATAATATGTATATATAATGTTATTATACCTCATACTATATATATTATCATTCTATATCTCATAATGTGTAATGTTATTATACCTCATACTATATTTGTTATTCTATATCTCATATACCTCATACTATATATAATCATTCTATATCTCATATATGTAATGTTATTACACCTCATACTATATAAATATTATCATTCTATATCTCATAATATATAATGTTATTATACCTCATACTATATATAATCATTCTATATCTCATATATGTAATGTTATTACACCTCATACTATATATATTATCATTCTATATCTCATATAATATATGTGTGAACAACTACATATTAGGAGACTAGCGGTTTGTGTTTCCCGCGTTCATGCCTGTTGGTACGTTATCTAATTCGTTTATGTGCGAGTTATATGTGCAAGTGTAATTAGGTTTGTGCGCATGTGCCCCATTCCATAGTTTAACTGCGTTCGTATGTACTCACTGTTTACTGAGTGCCTGGTAGCCAACCCGGAAGTTCGGGAAAGTGCCCCAGAAGTTCAACGGTGCTGGGAGCGATCGTGTTCCTGCGGTTTGGAGATGGCGTCTGTGAAGCGTGGTGTAAGGGCCTGCTGGAGCGCCTGGCCGTTATCCTGGCTATAGTTAGGTCTGGTAGAGCCATGAAGGAATTCTTCTTGGCGAAACCGGAAGTGACCAGTCAACGTCAGCCCAAGCTCAGGGTTTTTATAGGCCGGATCAACCCCTCCCACAACTCCAGGCTCCGCCTTCCCAGTTATCATAAAATTATACCTTATATTATATCTACCTCATAAAATATATTTAATGTTATCAAACCTCATATGATATATACAGGTATATTATTATATTTATACAGCGCCAACAAATTCCGTAGCGCTTTACAATGGGTGGACTAACAAACATGTAATTGTAACCAGACAAGTTTGATAGTATAATTATATCTACCTCATAATTAATATATATCTACCTCAAATAATAATAAAATATATATATATCTATCTATCTATCTATCTATCTATCTCTCATGTCATTAAACCTCATATTACAAAATTATATATAATTGGAGGGGACGACGACGCTTTAAACAGTTTTTAATGTTTTAATACCGAATAATAGTTCCAGTAACCCATCCCCTCTATGCTGGAAGGACGAATGAAGCATTGGACGGCTGTGATTTGCTGAGAGTGTCAGCTGACCACATTCAGCCTATCACAGACGCCCATTGCTGGTATGAATTAGTATGGCTATGAGGAAGTGTGTAATCTCTGCCTTAGCCACATCTCCAGTGGGGGCGGAGCTGTGGAAGGCCAGGGACCCTCATTCAGTGTTGAAATGCTCCACAATGGTTTAATACTCAATGGAGTGACAGTGCCAGGGGACTCCATGCACTATAACCACTTCAATGAGATGGAATGGTTTAACACTAAATGGAGGGACAGTGCCAGGGGACTCCAGGCACTATAACCAATTCAATGAGATGGAATGGTTTAACACTGAATGGAGGGACAGTGCCGGGAGACTGCAGGACCGTAACCACTTCAATTATATGAAATTGTTATATTGTCTACAATGTCCCTTTAATATCTTGCTAGGCAGAAATTTAGGAGATTAGATCAGACGCCCAAAGACCAAAACGTGTCACTCCTGATTGGCGGAGCCTCTTCCTTTTCCCATGCAAGTAAAAATCTCTTGGAACTTTAAAAATGGTGCCAATAAATAACCAAAAGATTGAGAACGAGTAACACACCCACTGAGTACAGCACACAACCATCCAAGACGCAACTCAATGCATGACAGCACAAACCTGATGACAAACGAACATAGCAATAAAACAACACGTTCGGTGGAGCTGTACTTGCATCTGTATATGCACTGTCAAAACATTCGTAACAAATATCTCCGTAATGTATGCCCTTTTTACTGTGAAAACCCAATAAACACAGAATGTTAAAAAAAAGGTGCCAATTCGTGCCCGTTTTGTTCCTTTAAGAAAACATTTGTATAAAAGAGAGAAAATAACACGATCTAATTTATTTGTTAAAACACGGATTTACAAAGATTTAATAAAATATTAGTAAGAAATTACACACAATCTCACTTTAAAAAGATTTATATGGAACTACTAGTCTCTCGCTGGATAAGGACATATTCTGTTGTAAGGCCAAATGAAAAACGGAACTTGTGACGGTTGCAGGTACCATATTTCAGTCGATCTGCCAGTCCTCGCTTGCCCAGTCTGGCATTTCAGTAGAAAAGTCAAAGTCGCTTCCCTTGTATCGCAAAGCATGAAGATACATAACTAGATCTTTGGGACAAGGGTCTGGTCTTACAAGCTTGCACTCCCCACACAATGGGTCTCTTAATCCTAGTTGGTTTGCTTTGCCATTATTACAGGTAAAATGTCCACTATCCAATTCCGTAATTATGCTTGGGGTGGCTACTGGTTGAGATGAAGCTGGAGCCTCTGTGTCTGTAGAGTTACTCACAGTCTGGAACTCTTCCCTTGGTCCATCGTCTGCAGATGACAACGAGCCCTCCACAGTTTTGTTTTGGAAAGCTAGTTGGAGATCGTCTTCTGTTATATCCAAAACGTCAATACTCTGCTTAGATTTATGTTCTTCCACCAGTGACCGGAGGAGCTCCTCATCACTTTTATTGACTATACCATCTTTACCCCGGGTCGGCCCCCACGATTCCGCGTTATATACTGGATCGTTGACAATAGGATGTCCAAGATACTGCAAGTGTACCCTGATTTGGTGTGTTCGGCCAGTGTGTGGAAAGCACTTTACCACGCTGGATTTGCCATTATAACTAAGTCTCTGAAAGACGGTTTTGCAAGATTTGCCTTTTGAATCCACACGACATACACCAATCTTGTAGGAGACAACCAGGATGGGTTCCTCACACGTCAACTCTTTTTCCGGAAACTGTCCACACACTCTGCACACATACTCCTTCTCCAGCTACGAGCAAAGAGAATACAATGAGCTGAATGTTATGAAAATGAAAGTGGATGAACTTTATCAAATTTCTCTTCTACATTTAATTAAACACTCAACATTATTTGCTTATTTGAATTTTATAAAAAAACACAACCTATGTAGCATATTATTTTAGTCTCTAATTAAGACATACAAGTCTGACAGTGTACAGCATAGCTTGTATATTATAGAATAGCAATAAATAAAGATAAATGATATACTGGATTTCTTGTGAAGCTATTAATACTCACCTCTTCTCCCGCTGCTAAAATCTATCTCCAAGGTTCTAGATTCCTGGTTATTATACAACATAAAACATTGATCGTTCTGTTACTAGATTTCTCTCCTGAAGCTTGATATGCGTTCTCCAGGAGATCACTATAGGTCTGCTGCTAGCCTGGGCCATTATATTCAAAGGGTTGATCCAAGCATCGTAATCACTAAAATCCACCAGTAAGGGGGAAAACGGTTTAGTAATCATTTGATTATAGATCATGCCCCTGCAATCTCACTGTTCAATTATCTGCCATTGAGGAGTTAAATCACTGTTTGCTAAGCCCTAGTCACACCTCCCTGCATGTGACTTGCACAGCGTCCTAAATACTTCCTGTAAAGAGTCATCTAATGTTTACACTTCCTTTATTGCAAATTCTGTTTAATTTAGATTTTCTTATCTCCCACTATTAATAGCTTGCTAAACCCCTGCATGGGCCTCCCGAGTGTGGTTAAAAAAATTCAAATTACAGACCTGGAGGTAAAAAACTTCTAAAGCAAGTTAACATCTGATTGAAAAACGAAACCATTTTTCTATTCTCAAACAGGCTGTTTCAGTCACAGCCAGGGGAGGTGTGACGAGGGCTACATAAACAAAGGTGATTTTTACTCCTAAATAGCAGAGAATTGAGCAGTGAAACTTCAGGAGCATGCTTTTTACACCAGTACTACTGCATTAAGCTAAAGTGGTTTTGGTGACTATAGTGTCTCTTTAACCCGTTAAGGACACACTAAGTGTGTGACATGTCATGATTCCCTTTTATTCCAGAAGTTTGGTCCTTAAGAGGTTAAATGACCACTACAGATACCCAGACCACTTCGGCTCAATGAAGAGGTCTGGGTGCCAGGTCCCTCTAGTTTTAACCCTGCAGCTTCAGAGAAACTGCTATGTTTACATTAGGGTTAATCCAGCCTCTAGTGGCTGTCTCACTGACAGCCGCTAGAGGCACCTCCGCACTTCTAGACACTGGACGTTCATAGGAAAGCATTGAGAAATGCTTTGCTATGGAGTGTTTGAATGCGCGAGTGGCTCTTGCCGCGCATGCGGCGTGTACGTTGGCAGAGTGAGGAGAGTTCCCTGGCACTGGAGAAAGGTAAGTGTTTAACACCCCTTCAGCCCAGTGGGAGGGGGACCCTGAGGGTGGGGGGGACCTAAAGCCCCTATAGTGCCAGGAAAACACGTTTGTTTTCCTGGCACTATAGTGGTCCTTTAAAGAACACAATCTGACTGTCCGCACTCCAAAAACACCATTCAGTGGTGGTCAGTATAACAGTCACTAGAGGTGTGTTTAGCCCCGCCAAGCAAACATTGCTGTGGTATTAGTATACCACTAATGAAATAAAATCACTCTGGTCCGTCTACGTTAATAAAAATTATTTCAGAGGCAAAAACTCAGCAATATACAAGTAAATGACACAAACTAACTCACTATGTACAACAAAGCACATAACACACAGTGACATACAAGTAAATGACACAAACAAACTCACAAACCCCCAATAGATCTCACTGACAGCAAGACCTTTCTACGATGGAATGCAGACAGACATAGAACGCAAGTGTGTCGCTATAGTGTCCTGTGACCTCACTACAAGTGGTGACAGAGATTGTCTCACGATCATATGAAAATTAAGTAGTCTTACACAAGAGGACATATATGCTTAGTCATAATATTTGTGTGACACAATAAGAGGACATAGTCTTAAATTAGAGGGACAAAGGTTTAAAAATAATATCAGGAAGAATGACTTTACTGAGAGGGTAGTGGATGCATGGAATAGCCTTCCAGCTGAAGTGGTAGAGGTTAACACAGTAAAGGAGTTTAAGCATGCGTGGGATAGGCATAAGGCTATCCTAACTATAAGATAAGGCTAGGGACTAATGAAAGTATTTAGAAAATTGGGCAGACTAGATGGGCCAAGTCACATTCTATGTTTCTAGATGTTTATCACAGTTGTCATATCTCCAAAATTATGCTATTTTACATTGCAGGAGCAAAACGCTACGGCACTGCACACAGACCTCTTCATTGAGACACCTATAGTGTCCCTTTCATTTAAAAGAAAACCGTTGTCATGGTTTGTTATTAAGAACGCACACAAGCTCTCGAGTTAGACATGGCGTTTACCCAACCAAAGTTCATGCAGCAATAAACACTAAAGATACACTAAAGAGATATTTACTGATGTGTCTTCATTAGTGTAACGGATCACCTGGCACCCCGACTGGGTACCTCCATTGAAGGATGCTCCTAGCGCATCCTGAGGGCTCCAAACACTGCAGCCGATACCATAACCACCGCAGACTCCTTCAGAGAGCAAGACAGGAACAAGCTCTTACAAGAGCTCAGTGATTATAGCAAGGGAATATGCAGAGCATAGCAATCCCTTATAGCAGATTCCCCCAATAAGAGACAGGACTCAGATTGAGGGTGAAGTAGAACTGCCTGGACTGGCACATCCAGCCTCTTTTATTCACATTCTACAAACATAGTATTGCCCACAGGGTTTTGCAGAACAACCAATCAATACGTACAATACACACAGACACTCCCACACAAAATCCTCCCCTCTGCCTGTGATAGAATTACTGAACACAATGGTCTAACTTAATTATCACAGGCAGGAAAATACACAGTTTTACACAATATTCATAACTCTAAAAGTATACATCATACTCACAAGTATACATCATTTTCAGAATCAGCATACTCCAAATACAAACAAACATACGTCAAAATCATACAAATTGGTCCAGTGGGTCAAAAGTTAGTTGAAAGCCCCTTTGTGACCGCCTGCAAGCATGGCTTGGGTGTGGTAAGCCAATTACCTCCATCATGCAGAAAATGGCTCTATTCACAACAACAGCAAAAACACGTAAAAATACATAATTCCTATTATACTTAACAGAACACCCACATTCATCACTATATCCAAACAGCGCTCAGATACCACAAACACAGTCAAATTGCCATGGGGTTAAAACACAGCAAGAGCTGATGAGAGACCAAGGAGGGGCAAAACAGCAAGTTCCAACTGGTCTGGCAGTGTGCCTGGGACAATGTCCTGCTGGAACAATAGACAGGAAACGGGGGAGTGGAAGAGAAACATCTTCCCATGCATTCAAATGGGCAGCAACAGTCTTTTAGAAGCCAATAAGCCCCAAATAGTCTTTTTAAATGGCAATACACCCCAAGGCCATAGTCATGATCGAGGAGGCTGGCAATCAGGCTCCAACAGCCAGGGGCAAAGGGCAGTTGGTCATATAAAAATCCAGTGACAAAAGGCATTTTGTCACAATTACAAACAAATAAACACGGAGGCTAGAATACTTGTGAAATGTATTAAACAACAATAAAACTTGACGACAGTTTTCTTTTAACTTGCTAAGAAAATGGTTTAACCCATTCCAGCTTCTCATATCGTGAGTTTCAAATAATAAGCTATGTGCGTGCTCTGCAAATAGTAATGTAATATGTTTGTGGTTGGCTTATAAGAAAAGTAAAGCTGGACGATATGGCCAGTAAAGGAAAATCCCATGACACCACAGGTGAATATTTCACCAAGGTTGCCACAAAGGCAAACTACAACTTCTGCCATTTACATAAACAACAACCTGGTCCTATGTGCTTGTGGATCCTTTTGTGATATATCGACAGCTCTTTGGGAATTCTGACAATGCCAATGGGTCACCACACTGGCCACCTCACCTGGCGTTCTCGGACTTGCTCATCAATCTTCTTGGACACTTCTAAGGTCTTGGCAAACATGAGTACACCAGACGTCATGCGGTCTAAGCGATGGATGGTGTGGAGTTCCTTGAGGTTGTGCTCTTTTCCCAGAATAAAAATAACTGTGTTGTGGCGGAAGCGACCGCACGGATGGACTGGTAGCGAAGACGGTTTGTCCACCACTATCATCTCATCATCCTCAGCCAGAATACGCAGAGGCTGTGCTGTTACAGGTGGTTCGTGGCGATGCACTGTGTTCCTGAGAAAATCATTATTCTGCAACACAAACAGATCACAGTAGATAGAGGTTCTTAGTATTTCATTAAGGTATAAACAAATGCTGACTGCGTTGGAATTCTAAACATTTTATAAGAAAGTAAGGACTACTTTGTCTTATGGACAAGCCTGAGGTTGACAAAAGACAGAGCAATCACAAATGACTGGGTGGGATAGGGACATTGTCTGCAAACGAGCAGAGCTGAAGAAGGTCCTCAGGATAAAGATGGCCGCACCTGTACGTGACAACTTCAGGTAAGTAAAAGCTACCTCTGACTGAAACCCACGGTCACTAACCAGAGATGTCACCTTCTGGGGTCTCTGCTTAATATGCAAACCCCTCTCAATAGTGACAGATCCATTTTAATGTGCAAGAAATACATGTATTACCCAGAGGCAGATGTGCATGGTGCCATTGTCACCACATTTAATACAGTGACAGTATTCCAAATACTAGCAGGGCACTGTGCCAGAGTGACCTTAACATTGGCAGGATAGTAACAGCCCCAGGACGTACTTGGAAACCAGAGTAGTCTGAATAAACCTCTCCTGGTTAAATACTTGATTACAATTATAAAGAGAGTGTTCGGCCCTCCCCCACCCAACCTGCAGGCGGGGTACGGGTCTGACACCTCTGCAGGGGGGGTACGGGCTGACACGGTTGCCGGCAGGGTACGGGCTGACACGGTTGTTTAGGGTATGAATGCCCCTGGCCACAGTGAGGATGGCAGCTCACCTTGAGCACAATGTTCAGGTCCCGAATGGTCTCCTCGTTGAGACGAAGTCTCCCGGCCTGGGCTGCCTGCTGGTAGTATTCCAGGGGCTCGGCTCGGAACTCGGTGCTGAACACGTCCAGCAGTGTCCTGCCTACCCACCGGCCCTTGCAGTAGGTCTCAAAGTCGAAGTAATAGGGCCGGACTTTGCGCAGGCCACCCTCCAGGTATGATTCTGCCTCAGCGAAGTGATTGTCACTAAAACTAACCCCGGCTCTGCGCTTCACTGGGGGCGGCACACAGCGCTCGCCAGCCCCCCGAGCCTTCCTCCTCCGCTTCCCTGGGCCCTGGGGGACCCCATCCGCCGGCTCCTTCCTCTTCCCAGGGAGCTCAGACATCACTTCGGCCATAGACCTACTCCCCCAGATCAGTGACAGAGCTCCCTTCCTGCTCCCCCAGATAAGTGACAGAGCTCCCTTCCTGCTTCCCCAGCTCAGTAACAGAGCTCCCTTCCTGCTCCCCAGACTGATAACAGAGCTCCCTTCCTGCTTCCCCAGATCAGTGACAGAGTTCCCTTCCTGCTTCCCCAGATCAGTGACAGAGCTCCCTTCCTGCTTCCCCAGCTCAGTACAGAGCTCCCTTCCTGTTCCCCCAGCTCAGTGACAGAGCTCCCTTCCTGCTCCCCAGACTGATAACAGAGCTCCCTTCCTGCTTCCCCAGATCAGTGACAGAGTTCCCTTCCTGCTTCCCCAGCTCAGTGACAGAGCTCCCTTCCTGCTCCCCCAGCTCAGTACAGAGCTCCCTTCCTGCTCCCCCAGCTCAGTAACAGAGCTCCCTTCCTGCTCCCCCAGCTCAGTGACAGAGCTCCCTTCCTGTTCCCCCAGCTCAGTGACAGAGCTTCCTTCCTGCTCCCCAGACTGATAACAGAGCTCCCTTCCTGCTCCCCAGCCCGGTAACAGAGCTCCCTTCCTGTTCCCCCAGCTCAGTGACAGAGCTCCCTTCCTGCTCCCCAGACTGATAACAGAGCTCCCTTCCTGCTTCCCCAGCTCAGTAACAGAGCTCCCTTCCTGCTCCCCCAGCCCGGTAACAGAGCTCCCTTCCTGTTCCCCCAGCTCAGTGACAGAGCTCCCTTCCTGCTCCCCAGACTGATAACAGAGCTCCCTTCCTGCTCCCCCAGCCCGGTAACAGAGCTCCCTTCCTGTTCCCCCAGCTCAGTAACAGAGCTCCCTTCCTGCTCCCCAGACTGATAACAGAGCTCCCTTCCTGTTCCCCCAGCCGGGTAACAGAGCTCCCTTCCTGCTGAATCCCACAGCAACACGTGCAGGGCGAGCGCGACGGCGCCTCTAAATGACGTCACTATGAATTAGGGATCTATTAATAGAGAAGGGAGGGGCTGGCTGAGGGTGATGTTACATGGAGGGCCAGGGGGAGCAGGGCTGGCTGAGGGTGATGTTACATGGAGGGCCAGGGGGAGCAGGGGCTGGCTGGGGGTGATGTTACATGGAGGGCCAGGGGGGGCAGGGGCTGGCTGAGGGTGATGTTACATGGAGGGCCAGGGGGGGCAGGGGCTGGCTGAGGGTGATGTTACATGGAGGGCCAGGGGGAGCAGGGCTGGCTGAGGGTGATGTTACATGGAGGGCAAGGGGGAGCAGGGGCTGGCTGAGGGTGATGTTACATGGAGCTCCAGGGGGAGCAGGGGCTGGCTGAGGGTGATGTTACATGGAGCTCCAGGGGGAGGGCTGGCTGAGGGTGATGTTACATGGAGGGCCAGGGGGAGCAGGGGCTGGCTGAGGGTGATGTTACATGGAGGGCCAGGGGGAGCAGGGGCTGGCTGGGGGTGATGTTACATGGAGCTCCAGGGGGAGCAGGGCTGGCTGAGCGTGATGTTACATGGAGGGCCAGGGGGAGCAGGGGCTGGCTGGGGGTGATGTTACATATTCATTTATTTTTATTCATTTATTTTAATTGTTTATTTGTACTCTCCATTCTTTGCTGCTGTCTGAAATCCTGTGCTGCTATTGCATGTGAACACCACCTGGAGTGGAGACACGCTGGTTTTAACTTGCAACATTGTAAGTGCAACTTATTTATAATAAATTGTTACATTTTGTACCATCTACACTATCTATTTTTCTCTTTACTTGGAGTGAATGAGAAGATCTACTATAAGATCATCGCTGGAGGTTCTCCATATTGCTACAGTTCCCTATTTTGGGAGATACGCCTGATTTCATCTAATTTTGTGAGTTCTCTACCATTTTGCTTCTATTTGGAAATAACAATATCACACTATATAGTTTTTATGTATTTTCAGATATATTCCTAGACAGAATATTTCCACATACCCAGTTGGTATATATTTATTATTCTTTGTCACTTTGGTGATTTATACTGCTTTGTACCTTTGGGTTTTTTCTTTTTTTTCACCTGGCTGAGGATGATGTTACATGGAGCTCCAGGGGCGAGGCAGGGGTTGCTCAATGTCCATATTTGTAGAAAATATATATTATGTTTAAGTTTGCCATTTTAGAATGTCATTGCAGAGTGGAAGGACTGCAGATGCCCATCGCAGTTAAGTGGACCACTGGCACCATAACCACTACATTTAGCTGGTTATGTCCAGTAATTCAAGGCAGCTAATGTTAAATCTGTGCATAAAAGGCGTCCTCCATCTGCTTGTATAAAATGTTCTCAAACAACGGCCGTACAGCCTCCCTCACCCTGTGCCAGCCCAGACCACCCTGCCTCCAGTTAATCCCACCCTCTTCGGCAAGGGAGAATGATGTCATGGAAGGAGAACTTGCACAGGAACGCAGGTGAGTATTCTCTATTTTATTAAGAGTGGATCTGGAGACTATGCTTGAATTGGCTCATCCAGCATTTCAGAGTCCAAGGCGAAGCCTTCCTGAAAACGGTGCAGCTGGAAAATATTTAGCGGAGATTTACCAAACATGGAATTGTGAGGAACTGGCAAGAGAATGGTACGTTTTAGGCCAAAAGAGTTGAATTGTAAACTGGGTGGCAAAATTCAGACTGAAGTAGTCCGACTGACTATATCAGAGTGAATTTATGGTCCGAAGCCCACATCTGCATTGAATCCTGTTTCCAGAGAGCAGAATCACTTTTTTCCTCCATTCAGCTTATTATAAATCAGGACCATTATTATCAACCACTACTTCAATCAAACTAAACTGGGAATGAGGATCTTTATCTCCTGATTCGCCAGATTATGTGACGAAGAGGTATATTATCTGCTACACAGGAAACTGATTATTTCCCATAACGATGTACTTTCTACTGCTATACTTTGATATTTTCTGTCTATCTGAATCTATATAAATGATTTGTCATGAATCACCATTAGTCGACTGGATATAATTAATGCCATGCTCCGAATTAGTGTAGATATACCTGAATGTGAGGTTCTATATAATCATAATGTCTGGGAGACATCTCATCGTCTAAGTGGAAACACAGTGAAGGACCATGTCTGTTATTGAGAAATGTCACCATATCAAGCCCTGCAATCAGGTTTTTCCCTTTTCGACAGAACCCCAGATTACATACATGGTATTACCCTCGAGCTCCATCCTTCAGCTGCTACAAATCACATTAAGCTCTGCAAAATCCTTCATGAGACTTTTCCTGGTGTCAAAGTTGTCAAGGTGGATCCAGTCATTTATTGGTGGATTGTGAAGAAACCGAATAAAATCAACGTAAAGGACTATTAATCACCCCTCTATGGCTACTTACTCTCTGCAGACACTTCCAGCCCAAGTGCCCTGAAATTTGACCACCCAGTCACTTAAATATATCAAACAGTGCTCCGAGAAAGCGGTAACTCAGGCTAACCACGTGCTATTATATCTTGGATTGAAGCTCAGCCGTAGCCACTCAATACTTACACAGGTGGCATTTCTACCACGGACATGGGCCAGGGCGCTATTTTGGCAGATAGGGTGCTCAGAGACACGCTATCCGGTAATACCAACTGTGTGGGTGTTATTACTGTTTTTCATGTTGTTTTGGATATATATTTGTGTCTGGAGGTTTATTAGATTAGGGGTACTTGGTCTGATCATCTCCTGAACACACATAAGCCTGGGTGGGATCTCTATTAAAGACCCCCTTCCAGGAGTCTGTATATAAGGGTGTTTGTACAACCTAATAAAGTGTTTTTGTTTTCATCCTTCGAGTCTCGACTGATGTTTGGGTGAGCTGCTACAGTCACTGAAGGTGTCCTGCTGAAAAAGAAGGTATATTAACAGATACTCAGGCTACTGAGTACTGATCTCCATTACAATGATGAGCCTGTTCCAACCAATAGGTAGGAACGGCTGCTTTTGTTATACAGAGCCCTGACGTTAGGAAGTGCTCCCCCCTATATAGACTGTACCTACAGAGGTAGAAAAATCAAAAGGAATAGGGTGCGCCTTTAGTAAAAGTACATAAAATATATCAGGAAAAACGTACGATAAAAATAAGAATAAAAAGAGTCCAGATATTATAGTCCACAGATATATAGGGAGTGTTCTTGTAACGTGATGTGGTATCGTCCCAGATGATGACTTTCGATATTTTCAATGGGTGATATGTGGAGAAATAAAAGTAACAGCCAATGGTACAGTATGTCTGTATAGGTGGATATATATTAAAGAAAAATAAAATTACTCAATTTCCAGAGCTAAAATCCAGCTCTGGTATGAAGTGCGTGAAGTGGAATGATCCCCACTCAAGGATATAAGGAGCTTTTTCTTGGAGATTTGATGATCCACCAAGGAGTCCAACCGGAAATTAAAGCAAATAAGATATATAGTGCTCACTGTTTTTTTGGAATTGAGTATAAAAATAATATCAAATATACTCACAGTGTATTGAGCAATCCTCTCTGCTCAATTTTAGGCGTATGGGTGGTATAATCCCCACCTAAGGATTTTCTTTAAATTCGTGATAGTTCAAGTTAGTCAGGTTTAAAGATAAGTTATAATAAAAAACTGGAATGTGGCAATAGAATATTTGAGGCCAAAATTCCTTTATTATTACAATATAAAATATATTAAAATAAATTCTAAACGCGTTTCGCCCACAACAGGCTTCTTCAAGTAGAATATAGTAAAAACAATAAACTGACTAGTAATGCTTTATATAGGTTATGTTAAATGTGCTGGAATTTGAATATTCCCGCCAAAATGGCATCATCACAGAATAAAATTTGTAAAATACAGATCAAAATAGAGTGACAATAGTAACATTGACATTATATTTAAATATAAATACAGTTTGTGTATATAATATAAAAACGAAAATAAAATAGATAACACTGAATAGAAATCACGTGACGCGCGGCGTGGGATTACTTCCGCGTCACGTGATTTCTAAGTCCAATAGGATACATGCGTTCCATAATTGGAACGCATGTACCGAGAGGCAGGATGTTGGCCGGGTAGGGATTAGCGAGGGGTATTTCCGCATCACGTGATTGCCGCATCCTATAATATACATGCGTTCCACCAATGGAACGCATGTATATATCGGCAAAGAGCCGGCAGGGTGGGGAGATAACATATCAGCAGGGGGGAGGGACCTTCTAACAGAAAGGAATAAAAATGAAGTGTTGTGAGCATGTTGCCCGCTTAGACAAGCGGACAAGCAACATGCTCACAGAGAGGGACAAGCCCTCCGGTCCCAAGCCCAAAGCCACACACATCCACAACACAAAGGGGACACACAACAGAAGCTGAGATGCACCGTTAGCATATTGCCCAAACACCTTAAAATATTTGTTTAATATATTTTAAAAATTATAGAAATAAGATAGTTAAAAAGAAATTAATTAAAAATTAATTAAGAAGGGATCAATGATTAAAGTTTGTTTAATTTAAAAATATATATTAAGAACTAAAAATGTTAAAATATTATGAACAGAATCATAAGAAGTTATAAAGGTCAAAGTCTACGTTAAGACCTAATGGAGTAAGAGTTTTTAAAATAAATGTCCATTCCATTTCTTTACTACCTAAAATCTTTTTTATATCTCCTCCTCTCCAAGGGATGTTACAAATGTCAATACCTATACATTTTAAGAATTTTGGATTTTTATCGTGTATTAAAAAATGTTTTGATATTGAATGGTTTTCATAACCTTTTCGGATATTGCGGCAATGTTCTGCTAGTCTGGTCTTTAATTCTCTAGTAGTCATGCCCACGTATTGAAGTCCACATGGGCAGTCTAATAGGTAAATGACGTTTTTAGTGGAACAATGAATAAAGTTTTTAATAGGGTATATTTTTTGAGTGATGGATGATTTAAAAGAAGTGGTTTTAGATTTGATACTATCATCCGTATGTCTGCACACTATACATTTATTGCATTTGAAAAAACCTTTTGGTTTGTTAAGGAAAGGTGGAGAGCAGAAAGAAGAGGTAGTTTGGTTCTGTCTGGTATAGTTCTTTGTAAGGATGGATTTGAAACTGGGTGCCCCCCTGAATATCACCTGAGGTTTTTCGGGGATAATCCCAGCTAGGATCTCATCCTGATGTAATATATGCCAATGTTTATTAATAATCTTCTTCATAACATTATTTTGGTTATTGAAGTCAAAGATAATTGGCAATGATGGAGCATTATTCGAGGTTTTACAGGAGATCCAATCTATCTTTGTCCCTAACATTATCGATAGTTTGACTTAGATTATTAATGGGGTAATTTTTCTGTGAAAATTTATTTAGTAACATATAGGATTGGTCCTCAAAGTCTTTAGTGAGAGAGCAATTTCTTCTTAAGCGGAGGAACTGACTTTTTGGTATTCCATGTAGCCATGGTTTGTAGTGGCAACTAGATATGTCTATCACATTATTGGTACATACTTTTTTAAAAAAAGTTTTAGTATGGACTTCATTTTCTTGGATAAAAATTTCTAAGTCTAGGAAATGAATGGTAGATTGGCTATATTCATGAGTTAAAATTATACCATTATTATTTTGATTTAAATAAAATAAAAACTGATTAAGAGAACTTTCAGTACCTTCCCAAATAAAAAACATATCGTCGATGTATCTGAAATAGGTTACCAGGTTTGCCTTCCAGTCATGCTCACCAAAAATGGCTGTTGATTCCCACTCTGTCATGAAGAGGTTTGCATAACTGGGCGTACCTACAGAGGTTGCTAGTATGACGTGTCCTCGTAGGCCTTGATAAGCAGAACAGACGTTGACCAAACATGACGACATCAATGACCTCAGTGGGACCAGGGGTCCAATGTAACCCGGGAGTGATGGTTTATGTTGGATGACACACGGTTCACGAGATCAATCGAGTACACACGAGACATGGAATGTGAAAGAAATGCTATTTTATGCTGTATAAAGTTATTACTAGATATACCACAAACATTACTCTTGTTTTATAGATTATACCGGCAATGTTCTCTTGTTCTTTAGATTATACTGCCAACGTTGCTCGTTATATAGATATACCGTCAACATTACTCTCGTTATATAGATACACCGCCAACGTTGCTCTCGTTATATAGATACACCGCCAACGTTGCTCTCGTTATATAGATACACCGCCAACGTTGCTCTCGTTATATAGATACACCGCCAACGTTGCTCTCGTTATATAGATACACCGCCAACGTTGCTCTCGTTATATAGATACACCGCCAACGTTGCTCTCGTTATATAGATACACCGCCAACGTTGCTCTCGTTATATAGATACACTGCCAATGTTGCTCTCGTTATATAGATATACCTCCAACGTTGCTCCTCGTACTAAAGACATACCACCGACATTACTCCTGTTGTATAGATATACCTCCAACGTTGCTCTCGTTATATAGATACACCGCCAACGTTGCTCCTCGTACTAAAGACATACCACCGACATTACTCCTGTTGTATAGATATACTGCCAACATTAGTCTTGTTTTATAGATATATATCGCCAACGTTACTCATGTAATACAGATTTATTGGAAACCGTACTCCTATGAAACTTTTGGAGGTAAAAATAAAAAAGCAAAGCATAATATTCCACACTAAGCACTGTTACATTGAAAAAGCATTGCTGAACAGATTTATTACATACACATTATACAGATATATATATATATATATATATATATATATATCTATATATATATATATAGAGAGAGAGATCTTTACAGTGTTTACATTTTGTTCATATTAGTAAAAAATTTATTCCAAAATAATTCTCCCATTTATAAAGAAAATGACAAATAAGCATGTATTTAATTCTCTTAAATTCTATTTTAATATTTTGTAAAATGATGGTTGAAAACCTCTTTAAGCATGACATGTTCCCTTCCTAGTCAGTCCTCCAGCAACCGAACTCTGTGACCATTTACCTATTTTCTAGATTAATCTGAGCACCATCTCTGAACCTTCACGCCTCTAGGAGACTAGAACAGCCGCTTCCTAAAGCAACACCATCTGCCTCTACTCCGACCAAACAAAACTGCGATCTTGTACAACCGGTACAATCCCTTCTGTGTCTCACAGCTCATCTCAAATGAAATAAAACGACAGAGTGTATAGACACATAATATAAAGGAAGAGACGGAACATGTATAGACACATAATATAAAGGAAGAGACTGGAACATGTATAGACACATAATATAAAGGAAGAGAACGGAACATGTATAGACACATAATATAAAGGAAGAGACGTGAACATGTATAGACACATAATATAAAGGAAGAGACTGGAACATGTATAGACACATAATATAAAGGAAGAGACTGGAACATGTATAGACACATAATATAAAGGAAGAGACAGGAACATGTATAGACACATAATATAAAGGAAGAGACTGGAACATGTATAGACACATAATATAAAGGAAGAGACTGGAACATGTATAGACACATAATATAAAGGAAGAGACAGGAACATGTATAGACACATAATATAAAGGAAGAGACAGGAACATGTATAGACACATAATATAAAGGAAGAGACTGGAACATGTATAGACACATAATATAAAGGAAGAGAGTGGAACATGTATAGACACATAATATAAAGGAAGAGACTGGAACATGTATAGACACATAATATAAAGGAAGAGACTGGAACATGTATAGACACATAATATAAAGGAAGAGACTGGAACATGTATAGACACATAATATAAAGGAAGAGACAGGAACATGTATAGACACATAATATAAAGGAAGAGACAGGAACATGTATAGACACATAATATAAAGGAAGAGACTGGAACATGTATAGACACATAATATAAAGGAAGAGAGTGGAACATGTATAGACACATAATATAAAGGAAGAGACTGGAACATGTATAGACACATAATATAAAGGAAGAGACTGGAACATGTATAGACACATAATATAAAGGAAGAGACAGGAACATGTATAGACACATAATATAAAGGAAGAGACAGGAACATGTATAGACACATAATATAAAGGAAGAGACTGGAACATGTATAGACACATAATATAAAGGAAGAGACTGGAACATGTATAGACACATAATATAAAGGAAGAGACAGGAACATCTATAGACACATAATATAAAGGAAGAGAGACAGGAACATGTATAGACACATAATATAAAGGAAGAGACAGGAACATGTATAGACACATAATATAAAGGAAGAGACTGGAACATGTATAGACACATAATATAAAGGAAGAGAGTGGAACATGTATAGACACATAATATAAAGGAAGAGACTGGAACATGTATAGACACATAATATAAAGGAAGAGACTGGAACATGTATAGACACATAATATAAAGGAAGAGAGTGGAACATGTATAGACACATAATATAAAGGAAGAGACTGGAACATGTATAGACACATAATATAAAGGAAGAGACAGGAACATGTATAGACACATAATATAAAGGAAGAGACTGGAACATGTATAGACACATAATATAAAGGAAGAGACTGGAGCATGTATAGACACATAATATAAAGGAAGAGACAGGAACATGTATAGACACATAATATAAAGGAAGAGACTGGAACATGTATAGACACATAATATAAAGGAAGAGAGTGGAACATGTATAGACACATAATATAAAGGAAGAGAGTGGAACATGTATAGACACATAATATAAAGGAAGAGACAGGAACATGTATAGACACATAATATAAAGGAAGAGACTGGAACATGTATAGACACATAATATAAAGGAAGAGACAGGAACATGTATAGACACATAATATAAAGGAAGAGACATGGACACATAATATAAAGGAAGAGACAACATGTATAGACACATAATATAAAGGAAGAGACAGGACACATAATATAAAGGAAGAGACTATAGACACATAATATAAAGGAAGAGACTGGAACATGTATAGACACATAATATAAAGGAAGAGACAGGAACATGTATAGACACATAATATAAAGGAAGAGACATGTATAGACACATAATATAAAGGAAGAGAGTGGAACATGTATAGACACATAATATAAAGGAAGAGACTGGAACATGTATAGACACATAATATAAAGGAAGAGAGTGGAACATGTATAGACACATAATATAAAGGAAGAGACATGTATAGACACATAATATAAAGGAAGAGACTGGAACATAGACACATAATATAAAGGAAGAGACAGGACACATAATATAAAGTATAGACACATAATATAAAGGAAGAGACAGGAACATGTATAGACACATAATATAAAGGAAGAGACTGGAACATTCTATACAATATATAAAAGAAACAACAGGAATGTGTGAAATATACAGTTTAGACCTGCACTACATATAGAAAAACACGGAACATGTACCATAATATTATTCTACAAACAGTTGTAATCAAAATTATTCAACTCATTGAAAGTCAGATTTATTGTCAAAATGTTGTGACTTTCAGCTGTTTGCAATGTACAAATCAAACAAAAGTAATTGAAGTAGCTCAACACAACGAATGTTTAAAGTGGTTTCCCCCAAATTCAACCGAAAGTGCAACTTATGACTTTTTCAGTCTCAAAATTATTCAAAATTATAGTCTTGAAGTTCTGGCATGGAAACCTTCTGTGTTTAGAACGCACTTACTGTGCTCACTGAAACCTCAGTGCCTGTTGCCACTAAGTCTTGCTTCAAGCCTTTTGTAGTCACTCGAGGGTTTTTCACAACCTGCCTTCTCAGAAAGCTGTCTGCAGCCATTGATAGGGTGATGATCTCTTCTCTGTACTTTGTCTACCATTCTTTTGACTTAGCCATATTTCTAACATGCAGTCAATCATGACATGCAACAAACCCTGAGCCAGTTCAGGTATTTCAAGTATTCCAGCTCAAGCACACCTGGTGCAACTAATGAAACCCTTGAGTAGTTCTATCAGTTGTGCTTGAGACAATGCCTGTTTTGCATGTTTGTGCTGTTGTGAGCGATTCTATTCACAGGGTTGAATAATTTTGAGACTGGAGACGTCATTAAAAGTAGCTTTTTTAGTTGAATTTGAGGAAACCACTTGAAGCATTCATTGTGTTGAGCAATTTCACTTAATTTTGTTTAATCTGTTCATTGCAAACATCTGAAAGTATCTAAATGTTGACAATAAACCTGACTTTCAATGGGGGTTGAATAATTTGGATTAGAACTGTAAGCCGTCACATACACACTCCTATGAATTCATTGCTTATGGCGTGTTTTCCAGTGTGTGACATTGGGTATAGTAATCTATACACCCATGGCGCCCCCTGCCTATGATTGTGTATACCCACAACAAAAAATCTTTGGCAAAAGCAATGTACCAAGCACAAGCACAACACCCCATAATCTATATTTTATATCATTATGATTGTACATCTCACTGCACTGAATGTCCTCACCTTGGCCACTGCTTGTTTCTGTCTGTCAGAGGGACGTACATGACACCCATTAGGCGAGCCCTTGTGATCTCCCCATCGTCAGCCTTGTCGTACTGCTCCAGAGCTTGGCTGCCACCTTCAGGTCCCACTGGCAAGATCAACCTTCCCCCTGGCTTTAACTGCTTTAATAACTGCCGGGACAAACAAACATCATGTAAAGTAGCCCTGGCCGCAAACACTTATAGCTTAGCATTTTATGGCACATCTCACAGCCAAGCTGAGTGTGTGCGGCACACAGCTCTAAACTGATACAAGCTGCTGTGTGCCATCCTCTGATCAAGAGAACTGCTAGTGGGGGGATAATCTACTTATCGCGTAACCCCCTTATTATTACTCTAATAATAAAGAGGCAGACAGTGTCGCAGAAATAAACACCCTTCATGCTCCACACAGGGTCACTTTATGAGATGAATTCCCCTGCCTGAACCATCCACTTAATCAGCCATAGCATGGAGGCAGTTCCTGTGGTATATAACTAAGCCACGCCATCATGCTGGTGCCTGGGACAAAGACTGCAGCTTCCCAACATCTTTGGGTCTAATAAATGTGCCCACACTTGGGGACTTTTGTTGGCAACCTTGGACCCCGAAAAACACACAAGCCCATCTGCCATCCTGATCTGAACAAAATCAGTCATTTTTACCAAGCTGGGGCACCAACGGACACTTTCAGATACTGGTCACCCAGGTACCCGATGCGATAAGCGGAGTAGGATAAGAGTCCTAGAATGAACGTCAAGTTTATATTTGCTTGGACTATTTGGATGATTTTATTTAAGTTTCACTGTGTTATTTTTCTACGTGGTTAACTTACTTTTATATTAAAGAAATCTCTTTTTTGGTCCATTATACTCTGCTTACCAGTCTTTAGATAAGCCACATTTATGAGGTTTTTTTTAACTTTAATTTGTGCTTTTTTCACACAAAAACAAATATGAACTCTAACTTTGGCCAGTGTTTGTGACTAAGTGGCTACTATAAAAAACTGGACATACCCCAATTGCAATACCTTGGGTTGTCTACTTTTGCAAATGGTATGCCATCATGGGGATAATTCTCATTCCTGGGCTCCCGTACGGTCTCAAAGACTACATAACCAATCTGACGAATTTCAATTTGAAAAAAACTGAAAAATGGAATGTGCTATATTTGACCCTTTTACTTTCCAAAACACCGTAAAAACTGTTAATGGGGGGTACTGTTGTACTCGTGAGACTTTGCTGAATCCAAATATGTGTTTTTTTTGCAGTTAAAGCTAATGGTATTATGACATTTACAGATGAAATTTCTATAAAATTTTTTTTAAATCTTAATTTCTCACAGTTTTTTAAAATTTTATTCATAATAAATTATGTTTCAAATATGAATAGTTCATGAGAAATTAAAGCCCAGTTTCTCCTGAACAAAATGATATGTAATAAGTGTGGGTGCACTTAATATGAAAGAGGTGAATTACGGTTGAACAGACATATAGCGCAAATACCAGTTTTTGTTTAAATTTTGTTTTGATCAGAACGTGTACTATTGACTCTGTCCTGAAGGGGTTAACCCCTTCCCGACCGAAGACGGAGATTTTCCGTCAAGCTTGTCCATGCGTTAAGGACCGTTGACGGAAAATCTCCGTCATTTACTAACGTTAACGCCAGATCGCCGCGATCGTGGGGTTAACGCTGTTGCTGGGTGCCTCGATGTCAGAGGCAGACCAGCAACCGCCAATAGAGCTGTCCCAGCACATGTCACAGCGATCACAGTGCTGCTGGGATTCCTGATCCTCCTCCCTCCACCTCTGTGGGGTTTGAGAAGTGGAGGGATCGGTGCTGCAACATTGTGTGCCATTTTAGCTTAAAGTGTATCTGTGTTTTAAAAGTGATTTTAATACTTTTAAAACAGTGTTAACCCTTTCCTTGCCCTTTTGATTACTCCCTGCAGTGATCAGTATACTGATCACAGTATTTAACTGTGATATAATTTTTTTTTGTACCCTCAAGTGTTAATTTTGATTTTTTTTTTTTTAACCCTTAGGGGTTAATTTTATTTAATTTGTTATTTAATTAATTTAACGTTAATTCCTTAGCTGGAGTGGGTGGACTTTAGTGGGAATTTGGGAAATTGAGTGTTAGGCTAGTTAGAGACGAAAAGTTTAGAAAAGTTCTGAAAAGTGTTTAAAATAAAAACTATAAAAAAAGAAAAAAAAAGTTTACAAAAAAAAAAAAGTTTAAAAAAATAAAGTTTGTTAAAGTTACACCTTCATAATGTCTAGAAGGTACACTGCTGAGAAGGCTTATGATATACTAGCAGCCGACTCTGCCTCTGAGAGTGGTGATGAGACTGTGCCAGATACTGCAGGGCCCTCTGTTGTAAGCGCCGAGTCCCCTGACCTGGCTCATGACACTGGTGACTGGGAACCCCTAAATGATTTCACGCCTGACATCCCAGTGTTTACTGGCAGTCCTGGAATTCAGTTGGATGTCACTAACTACAGTGCACTGGATTTCATGCAGCTAATCTTGGGGGATGATATTTTAGGGGATATAGTCACCCAGACCAACCTTTATGCTGTGCAGTACCTGACACTTAATGATCAGAGTCTCATCGCCAGGCAAGGGAGTTGGTACCCCACCAGTGTGCCAGAATTAAAAAAATTTTGGGCACTAACAATGCTAATGGGCATTATTTAAAAAAACAGCATCAGGATGTACCGGTCCAAAAATCCTGTATGCAGCACCCCTGTGACGAGACCAATCTCGCCACATTGCATTGGAGAAGCCTGGTTGCTCGCCTGTTACCTTTGGACTATGGCCCCATGTTAAAAGCCTTCTTTTCCCTGGCAGAAAAGGCTTATTCGTGCCTAATGCACGAATGACTGGACCACCTGGGAGCTGGAGTGTGTCGGCAATTTACCTCCCAGAAGCTGCGGTTAACCGCAGCTTAATTGACGAATGCTCGGTTGCCGAACACATGGCGGCGGCCATTTTAAAGTCCCGAACAGCCAGCGGTGTTCAGCGCCCAAACTAGGGAACTGTAAACGGACACTTATTTGCGCGAACACCGCTGAGCCGTCAGCCTCCTTGCTTCTGCATTCGGTCATTTAACCAGATGCCTGTTCATTCGGTAGTTTAAACCGTACGAACAGCATAACCCCAGATAGCCATCCTGTGGAGTCTATTTGTATGGAGAACAGACTTTGTGTAACTCCACGGCGATTGGACTGTGTGCATAGGATCTGAGCACTATTCGGTACTTTTGTGTGCTCAGATCCCAGCTATCTGGGGATGGGTTACATGTATATATTTTGTGTGACAAATGTAATATTGTGTATTTTGTTGTATTTTAGTGTTTTGTTGTAGCCATGTGGGTAATGGAGTTTTGCCTCTGTCCTGGGAGATAATTGGATTACTTCCCAATTATCTCCAGGACAGAGGGAGGGAAGTTAGGATGCATTGTGGGGATGTTTTTCTGTCATTGGTTCATGTCTGTCCTGTGTCACAGTCTTCCATTTGGTCCCCTAGGGGAGTGTCCACCAGGTGGGAGACCTGCATAAATACTGGGCAGGTAGCCCTCATTAAAACAGACCACTGCTTGACCCTCAACACGGAGCCTTGTCCCGTCTTTGGGGGGGATTTACTGTATGCTGATAGAGACTGATTGCTAGGAGTGTAAGCCGCTTGGGTGCTTTTCCTATTCGTCTGCTAGCAGCTATTCGTGAGTGTAACGAGAATATACCCCAACACGCAGGATTCAGCAAAACAAAAGACAACACAGAGGAGAGATACGTCTACCGGACCTTAGAATGGCCGGACTCGACGTATAAGAGAGGAGACAGAGTCAGGAACGATCCGAAATCAAGGGCACAGAGAGACAGCGTAAACTGGGACAAGCCGGGGTCTGGTACACAGTAAACAGCAAGCCGACAACCAGAACAGAAGGATAAAGAGAAAACGTAGTCAGAAACAAAGCCAAGGTCAATACGGAGAAACACAACTGAAGGGAACTGATACAGAAACCACGATAGGGCAAGGAACAAAGGGAAGAAGGTGAGTATAAATACCTAAACATCTAATTTGATTGGTCCCTGTCACATCCACGCCCCCAAAAGGTAAGTGTATGGGGAGTGTGGTATGACAGGGACCAATGGATGCCTTTTCCAATTTAGGCACCCCCTGTCCCTTTAAGAGCTCGCCCGATACCCGCGGCGTGCTCTTAGAGTTAGGTGGAACACATGACCGCTTTCCAGTCACAGCCGTCGGATGAGCCGCGCGCGGCTCGTGCAGCAGCAGGACCGCACGCGGCTCGAACAGAGGACCCCGGCCGGCCCCTGGAAAGGGTAAGTACCGCTACATTACCCCCCCCTGAGGACACGCCCTCCGGGCAGGGAGGGCCAGGCCTGGCAGGAAAACGAGAATGGAAAGAGCGCACAAGACGAGGAGCGTGAACCGCGTCAGCGGAAATCCAACTATGCTCCTCAGGCCCATAGCCCTTCCAATGCACTAGGTACTGGAGTCGGCCCCTAAGGAAACGAGAGTCAAGAACTGCAGAAACTTCAAATTCCTCATGACCCTCCACAGAAACAGGAGGGGGAGGAGGTGCATGTCGGGTGTAGCGGTTGCGTACGAAAGGCTTCAACAGCGAGGTGTGAAAGACATTAGGAATACGCAGATTCTTAGGGAGACCCAAGGCATACGAAACAGGATTAACCTTATGCAGAATACGATAAGGACCAATAAAGCGGGGAGCCAATTTCATAGAAGGCACCCGGAGGCGAATGTTTTGCGTAGAAAGCAGAACCCTGTCCCCCACAACATAAGAAGGAGCCGCCCTGCGATGCTTGTCAGCCTGCACCTTCTGGCGAGCAGCGGAATCCACCAAAGAACGCTGAACCTGCTCCCAAGTATGACGCAAATTAGCCAAATGTTCATCCAGAACTGGCATGCCCTGTGAGGAGAAAGCAGCCGGAAGAACAACAGGATGTTGGCCATATACAACGTAAAAAGGACTCTTGCCGGAAGAATCATGAGTAGCATTATTCCGAGCAAACTCAGCCCAAGGAAGAAGGTCAGACCAATTGTTCTGATGGTGGGATACGAAACAACGAAGGTACTGCTCCAGAGATTGATTGGCACGTTCGGTAGCTCCATTAGACTGGGGGTGGTAAGCGGAAGAAAATGAGAGAGAAATACCCATTTCCGAACAAAAGGCTTTCCAGAACCTGGAAATAAATTGGCTACCCCTATCAGATACAATAGATACGGGAATGCCGTGTAATCGAAACACCTCTCTGGCGAAAACAAGTGCTAGTTCCCTGGATGTGGGCAGCTTGTGAAGAGACACAAAGTGAGCCATCTTGGAAAACCGATCCACTATCATTAGGATAACTGTGTTACCATTCGAGGGAGGTAATTCAACAATAAAATCCATGGACAGGTTGGACCAAGGTCTCTCGGGAATAGGTAACGGATGCAACAGCCCACAAGGAACCCTATGAGAAGATTTCATACAGGCACAAGTAGTACAAGCACCTATATAGTCAGTGACATCCTTGCGTAAGGAATCCCACCAAAAATACCGAGAAACTGCTGACACCGTTTTGGAAATACCAGTATGTCCAGCAGTCTTAGTGTCATGATACAACGACAGAATCTCCCGTCTCTCGGGAACATCAACGAACAGTTTATCAGTAGGTCTCTCGCTAGGTGCCATGTTTTGTTTCGCTTGTATGGCCTGCAAAAGGGACGAAGAAATAGACAAAACAGTGGTAGCGATTATTCTTTCTGGGGGAATCAAAGGAGTAACATCAATCTCCTGTTTGTCAGCAGTTTCGAACTGTCTGGACAGAGCGTCTGCTTTAGTGTTGCGGTCACCTGGCCTATAGGTTATAATGTAATTGAAATGGGACAAAAATAGTGACCACCTAGCCTGCCGAGAAGACAATCTTTTAGCCTCACTAAGGTAGGATAGGTTCTTGTGATCCGTAAATATGAGAATAGGATCTTTAGTTCCTTCTAACAAATGTCTCCATTCTTTCAGTGCTAAAATAATAGCAAGGAGTTTGTGATTACCCACATCATAATTCTTTTCTGCTTTGGACATTTGTTTGGAGAAGAAGCCACAAGGATGCAATGGCTTTTCAGGCGACTCTCTTTGGGATAAGACAGCACCTACCCCGATATCAGAAGCATCAACTTCAAGAATACAGGGCAGTGTGGGGATAAGGTGCTGTAAAATAGGTGCAGAAGCGAATGTAGTTTTAAGAAACTCAAAAGCCTGAAGTGCCTCGGGAGACCAGACACGAGTATTGCCTCCCTTTCTTGTCATACGGGTGATAGGCGCTACAATAGAGGAAAAACCTTTAATAAAGCGTCTATAATAGTTAGAGAAACCAAGAAAACGCTGAATGGCTTTCAAACCTTGTGGAAGAGGCCATTCCATGACAGCAGAAAGCTTCTGGGGATCCATACGAAAACCTTTAGCGGAAATTAAATACCCCAAAAACTGGACTTCGGATTGGTCAAATAGACATTTTTCCAGTTTACAATAAAGACCATTAGCAAGAAGGGTCTTCAGAACTGTCGTAACATGCCTATGATGAGTGTGTAAATCTGTAGAGTATATTAATATGTCGTCTAAGTACACAATTACAAATGTGTGAATAAAGTCTCTTAAAACGTCATTGATAAATTCTTGAAATACTGCTGGGGCATTGCATAGACCAAATGGCATAACAGTATACTTGTAATGGCCAGATCTAGTGTTGAATGCCGTTTTCCATTCGTGGTCTTTCTTAATACGTATTAAATTGTATGCACCTCTAAGATCAAATTTAGTGAATACAGTAGCATGTTTGAGTCTGTCAAATAATTCCGTGATTAAAGGTATAGGATATGCATTTTTGATGGTGATTTTATTTAGACCTCTATAATCGATACACGGTCTTAAATCACCTTCTTTTTTTGATACAAAGAAGAACCCCGCTCCAGCCGGAGAAGAGGATCTCCTAATAAACCCCTTTTCTAATGATTCCTTAATATACTCCTCCATGACACGGTTTTCTTGAACAGATAAAGGGTACACCCTGCCCTTTGGAGGTATTGTGCCAGGCAATAAATCGATAGCACAATCGTAGGGTCTGTGAGGTGGTAATTTGTCAGCCTCCCTTTTATCGAAGACAGTTTTGAGAAATAAGTACTGAGGGGGTATAACAGTGGACAAAGGAGGAGTTGTAGGAACATTAATAGAATTCAAAGGGGTGACTTTAATAGTACAGGACTTATGGCAGGCATCGCTCCATGATTTTATTTGCCCTGACTCCCAATCGAAAATGGGATTGTGAGTACGTAACCATGGGTACCCTAACACAATGTGAGAAGAGGGAGATGTGATGACCTGGAATCGAATGGTTTCAAAGTGTAAAACCCCTGTATACATGTGTAATGGTACAGTTTCATGAGTAACATTTGGAGAACTTGGAGAACTTAATGGTCTACCATCTATGGCCTCAATGGCCAAGGGTATCTCCCTTTCTCTGACGGGAATGTTATTTTTCGTAACAAACTCAGAGTCAATAAAGTTCTCAGCAGCCCCAGAATCAACCAAGGCTAATATGCGTTCTGCTATACAACTCACCCCCGTATGAAGGGAAACAGGGAGAAGCAAACGATTAGGAGGCAATTTAGAAGACTTAGAGATCACACCCAAGGCCAGTCCCCTATAAGGTCTTATGTGCGAGAGTTTTCCGGACGCAAAGGGCATTCCCTTACCATATGGTCTCGCCTACCACAGTATAGGCAGAGTCCATTCCTTCTTCTAAGTAGTTTTTCAGTATCCGAGAGTTTGGCAATCCCTAATTGCATGGGTTCCTCCTCGGGTACTTTAACACTCTCAGGTTTATCAACTCTGGGATTAATAGATGTGACCAGACGTCTATTCTTGTTTTTGGTATAGAGCCTGTCGCGAATTCTATTATCTATATCAATGAGGTAGTCAATAAGATCCTCTAATGGAATAGGAAGCTCCCTTGCAGCTACCTCATCTAATATAGTGTCAGATAAACCTTCCATGAACGCAGTAGTTAACCCATTATTGGTCCAATCTACCTGTGAAGCAAGGGTACGAAACTGAATAGCATAATCCGCCACAGACCTAGACCCCTGTTTAATCCTCATTAATGCTCTTGCGGCATTCTTTGACCTCTTTGTTGTGTCAAAAGTTCTACGAAAAGCCGCAAGAAAACTATTGAAATCATGAACCATAGGTCCATTAGCCTCCCAAATAGGATTTGCCCACTCTAGTGCTTTGTCAGTAAGTTGATGCATCAAAAACCCCACTTTAGACCTATCAGTGGGAAAGGAATGAGGATACATCTCAAGGTGGAATTCTATTTGATTAATAAAACCTCTGCATGTCTTAGCTTCCCCTCCATACCTAGGAGGAGGTGTTAAATGGGGCGAAGCATTGGTTGAATTGGATACTTCGGGAGGATGAGGTGTAGGAGGGTTAGGTGCGGTTGCAGGAATGGTTCTAGACAAGAGCGTCTGGAGAGCCTGTGCTATCTGATCCATACGGTGATCCTGCTCTACAAACCTTGCCTCATGAGAAGCCATTTGCTGAGCCAAATCTGCGGGGTCCATGGCCCTATCGTAATGTAACGAGAATATACCCCAACACGCAGGATTCAGCAAAACAAAAGACAACACAGAGGAGAGATACGTCTACCGGACCTTAGAATGGCCGGACTCGACGTATAAGAGAGGAGACAGAGTCAGGAACGATCCGAAATCAAGGGCACAGAGAGACAGCGTAAACTAGGACAAGCCGGGGTCTGGTACACAGTAAACAACAAGCCGACAACCAGAACAGAAGGATAAAGAGAAAACGTAGTCAGAAACAAAGCCAAGGTCAATACGGAGAAACACAACTGAACACAACAAGCGCTAAAGGGAACTGATACAGAAACCACGATAGGGCAAGGAACAAAGGGAAGAAGGTGAGTATAAATACCTAAACATCTAATTTGATTGGTCCCTGTCACATCCACGCCCCCAAAAGGTAAGTGTATGGGGAGTGTGGCATGACAGGGACCAATGGGATGCCTTTTCCAATTTAGGCACCCACTGTCCCTTTAAGAGCGCGCCCGATACCCGCGGCGTGCTCTTAAAGTTAGGTGGAACACGTGACCGCTTTCCAGTCACAGCGGTCGGCTGAGCCGCGCGCGGCTCGTGCATCAGCAGGACCGCGCGCGGCTCGAACAGAGGACCCCGGCCGGCCCCTGGAAAGGGTAAGTACCGCTACAGTGAGGTTCCAGTTCGGGAGTTTGGAGTGCTATTTTGTATGCAGGTCGGGAGTTTGGAGCATTCCCTTACATGCAGTTCGGGAGTTTGGTGTTCTTCAGTAGCTGTGCCTGTATCTGAGGAAGGGGAAGATCTTCTAAACGGGGGTTTAACCCTTTTATGCCTGGGTGTGCCGTAACAACCCCTATTTACTCCCAGACCATGAAAAGGTCCAGATATGAAGCAATGCTTCGCTTTTTACACTTCAGCGACAATTCGAAGTGCCCCCCAAGATATAATCCTCAATACCATAATCTCTATAAGATTCGCCCCCTTATTTCCCACTTCAACAAGACAGTTTAGCTCAATGTACAACACACAAAAAAATATTTGTGTAGATGAGTCTCTAATGAAATACAAGGGCAGACTGGGGTTTAAACAATATATCCCGGCCAAAAGATCCCGGTATGGGATAAAGTTGTATAAACGTTGTGAAAGTGCCAGTGGTTATGTTTACACCTTCCGTGTTTACGACGGTAAAGACAGCCACTTGGATCCCCCAGGTTTCCCAGATATCTTTGGGACGAGTGGAAAAATCGTATGGGATTTAATTAACCCATTGCTAAATAAGGAGTATCATTTATTTATAGACAATTACTATAATAGCATCCCTCTTCCTAGAATGCTTTATTGCTTTGAAACTGTGGCCTGCGGCACTATCCGAAAGACACGTGTCGGTTTCCCAAAAGCCCTGGCACAAAAAAAGCTCAAGAGGGGGGAAACGGCTGCTCTCTGCCAGGACAACTGCTGGCTCTCAAATTAAAAGATAAGAAGGAGGTGTGCATGCTAACATCTATGCATACTGAGCACACTCGAAGAGTCGCAGTTCGTGGCAGACAAGAAATTAGACGGGTGCCAGTCTGCATTAGGCAGTATAACAAGCACATGGGGAAGTTGACCTGTCCGACCAACTGCTGCAACCCTATATAATACTGAGGAAGACCAGGGCATGGTACAAAAAGCTTGGCATTTACCTTTATTCTGTACAAAAAGACAAATGCTGACATTAAATCCACATTTCTGGATTTCCAGTTTCCGCTTATTTCTGGACTGCTCACTGAGTGCCACAGTGGGGAACCATCAGCCGGCCTAGCAGCAGAAGGGTTGAGACAGATCACTTCTGTTTCCGGATACCACCAACCCCCAAAAAGAAGACACCCCAGAAAAGGTGCAGGTTGTGCTACCAGAGGGGCATAGGGACGGAAACCAGCTTTTATTGCCCCTCTCAGCCCGGCCCTTGTATTGGCAACTGTTTTAAAGTTTTTCACACCCAGGGAGAATAAGTTGCACATTATATATATTGTGACAGAAAGCAAGGAATTGTGCTGGAAGGAACCTATATACCTCCCCAGATTTTGCAAGGTTCTTACTTTGTGTAATTAGCCCCAGGGAAATGTGTTATGTTCTAATGAATGTTGCACTTTAAATATGTGTATATTTGGGCCCTGGGGTGGAGCACCTGGAGAGTAGGGTGGGCCAGTGCTCCACTCCACATTTTGGAAGTTGCTTGGTGAGAAGTCCAGTTCTGGAGTTTGAATCCTAATCTAACTCACCTGAAAAGGATTGTCAATTACCAGTGCTATAAAGTACTCCCCTGCCAAGGAAGAAGGGAGATTGTGTTTGGTTTCTGTGAGTGGAAACAGAGAGCTGAAAACCCTGAAGCAGTAAGGCTGTTTATGTTTATATTTATGTTTATGTTGGGAAATGGACAAGCCATCCAACCCAGTTAGCTGATTATTTTGTTTAGTTAGTGCTCAGAAGAGCAAGGCTTTTGTTTGATATATTTTTGTTACCTTTATACCTTACTGTGCATTTATTTTGGAACCTCAATAAAAGAGCAAGTCAGTTTACCTCATCCAGCGTGTGAAGTGTCTCTAAAGCCTGAAAAGACTGTGTGTAACACCCCAATCCCAGGACAAGGTACCAAGGGAAAGGAGTACTTTTGTCACAATATATATATATATATATATATACACACAGACACACACACACACACACACACACACACACACACACACATATATATACACACACATACATTTTTTTTTGTTATTATTTAGTTCTTCCATTTTAAAGTTGCTGACAACGTTTAGGGCCAAGGAGACTGCTGCAATTCTTACCTCTGACTGATTATTATATTATTTTTATTTTTCTAATTTTAGTCAGTTAATTAGGGTGCGTGGTAATTCATAGGAAGTTGGGGAGTTTAGTGTTACGCTAGGAGTGAAAAGATTTTTTAAAAATAGAAAAAAAAATTTATAACATTATTTAGTTAAAGTTCTTGTGTAAAAAGCAAAAAATGCTTAGGAAGTTATGAATTCTATCAGCAGACAGAGTTGACAGGCAGTGCCCCAGAGTTTGATGCAGGTTAATACGGTGATTAATACCTTCTTTAAAAAATGGTAGGCCTTTGTGGGGTAGTTTGAATTATCAGCCTGCTAAGATGCTCTAAAATTGCACATGGACCCAGCGTCAAAATTCAAAGTTTAAAAAAAAACAAACAAACAAACTGATATGGCTTAGTCTCCAATATGCCCCTTCAACATCCACATATCCCTGAAAAAGGTACACATGGGGGTATTGGTGTACTAAGACAACATAGCTGAGCAACATAATAGGTGTTATACTGCCGTAGCACACATAAGGATTGCAAAATATACAGTAACATCTCCAAGTGAGTGTCAAAAAGGCAGGAAAAAACGCTAATTGCTACTAGACTTGGTACAAACTAGCAAAAAAATGCTTAGTTTTAAAATATGCCATTTGAAATACCCTGGAGTGTCTACTTTTAAAAATTGAAACATAGGCCCATCAAATCCGTCTCTCAAAATTCTACTGTAAATACCGAAATGGACAGGTCTCCTATTTCGTGCTGTAGCTTCACGAAATAGTGCCAAAGACATACAATGGGGATATCGTTGTACTCAGCAGATGTAACTGAACACATAATTAGGTTTTGTACAGGAATAGCACACACTAACTTTACGAAATACACATGAGAAGTTCTTTGTTATAAGTTTGTGTGTCCAAAAAAATTTAGTTCAATATTTAGTAGGGATTGGCGTGAAAATGGCTATGTAAAAGTGTCAAAATAATGTTAGGTAAATAGCCTGTGAAGTCACTTTATATATACTTTTGTGTGGCAATTTTGTTTTCTTTTATGGCTATTAAGCTTACAAGACAAACATACCAAATTCTAAAATCGCTCCACATTAAAAGTCTATTTTACTCCTTGTGCTCTGTGACCTGTAACTACCAAAAAACTTAAAATCCCAGACACATTTATATTCTGTAAATCAGAAAAACTAAATTAATTTATTTTTAATTACTTCCCTTAACCTGCACAAAATTAGGCACACATTATTATTGCAAAAACTAAAAAAAAAAAAAAAACACAAAATTTTTACATTTTTGGGCATCTGTTTGTATTTTTTTTATAATAAATTAGCATTTATATATGTATATATTACATCAATTTAAAGCCCTTTTTGTCCTTTTAAAAACGGTATATAATATGTGACGGTGCAATAAAATTGTAAAATGCAAATTGCAGTTGAACGCAAACAGCAAAAAATGTGAATATTTCTTGTGTCCTTAAGTGCAAGACAAGCTTTTGAAGCTGTGTCCTTAACCCCTTCAGGACGGGTGACGGACGAGGTCCGTCACAGAGGGGAGACCCTTAACGACGGGTGACGGACCTTGTCCGTCACGCGGTAAAATTAACCCCGGATCGCCGCTATCGCGGTGATCGCGGGGTTAATGGTGCTCCCGGTATGCCTCTGCATTGGAGGCATACCGGGAGCACCCGGTCAGGCTGCCCAGCACATGTGCTCGCTCTGACCGCAAGTCAGAGCGAGCACATGTGCTCAGTATACTCACCTACCGGCTCCCTGCACTTCCGGGTTCTGTGTGAAGTGCAGGGAGCCGGATCAGTGATGATCCTGCCCCCTGCTGGAAAAAAAAATAAAGTTTATTTAAAGTGTCCCCCCCCTTACCCATTTTAATAAAAAATTAACCCATTCCCTGCCAATTGATCACTGACTACAGTGATCAATTGGCAGGGATTACATTTTACTATGATCTGATTTTTTTTTTTTAACCCCTGAGGGTTAATTCTTTTTTTTTTTAACCCTCAGGGGTTAAATTAATTAAATTAATTAATTAAATTATTTTTAAATTATATATTTAGATAGCTGGGGTGGGTGGAAGTTAGTGGGGAATTGGGGGATTTGGCGTTAGGCTAACTAGGGGTTAACGTTAAAAAAAGTTTTAAAAGAAACTTTAAAAAGTTAAAAATTAAGCTTAAAAAAATGTTTTAATAACATTTAAGTAAAAAAAACAAAAAAAACACACTTTACCTAGTCCAAATAAAAATTAACCCCTTCCCTGCCAGTCGATCACTGCCTACAGCGATCAAATAGAGATCACAGTATTATACTGTGATCTAATTTTTTTTAACCCCTGAGGATTAACTTTTATTTATTTTTTTAACCCTCAGGGGTTCAATTTATTTAATTAATTAATTTAAATATTTTATAACTATATATTTTGCTAGCTGGGGTGGGTGGGAGTTATGGGAAAATGGGGAATTTACTGTTAGTGCTGCGTACTGCTAGTTAGGGGTTAACGGTAAAAAAAAAAGCTTAGAAAAATGTTAAATCTGTAAAAAAGTTTTAAGAAAGTTTAGGAAAGTTTAAAAAAAATTTATAAGCAAAACAAAAGTTTAAAAACTAGTTTTTAAAAGTAAAAAAGTTATAAAAAGTAAAAAAATACATTTTAAAAACGCTCATTACCACTACACCTGGAACAAACTAGAGAAAAAATTATCCCACGCCAAGGTTCAAAATATGCCTTTTGAATTACCCCAGGGTGTATTCTTTAATAAATAGTATGTGTTTGTGGGGAAGTTTCAATAACCAACCGTCTAAACTACTCCAAATTGGAACATGGACACAGCGTAAAACTTCAAAGTTAGAAAAAAACTGGAATGGCTGTGTCCCAAATGTGCCCCTCCGATGTCCACACATACCTGGCAAAGGTACATACGGGGGTATTGCTGTACTCAGCCGACATAGCTGAGCAACATATGAAGTATTATACAGTCGTAGCACACATAAGGTTTGCAAAATATACTGTGCAAACTCACTTTGTATGTCAAAAAGGCAGAAAAAACGCTTATTACCACTACATCTGGTACAAGCTAGCGGAAAAATGATCCCACGCTAAGGTTCAAACTATACCTTTTGAAACACCCTGGGGTGTCTACTTTAAGAAATGGTAGGCCTTTGTGGGGTAGTTTGAATTTAAAACCTGCGAAGATGCTTGGAAATTGCACATAGGCCCAGCGTCAAAATTCAAAGTTTGGTAAAACCGGATATGGCTTGGTCTCCTATATGGCACTGTAGCTTCACAAAATAGTGAAAAAGACATTCATTGGGGGTGTATTTTTACTCAAAAGACTTAGCTGAGCATAATTTGGGAGGTTTGAACTTAGTGGCACATATGAAATATACAAAACGCCCAGCAAAAATGCAATCCGTATGTAAAAAATGCACAAAATAATTTTTTACCACATACTTTGGCATATATTGGTGAAAAAATGGGGGCATGTTAAGGCACAATATGCACCTTATGAGATACCCTGGAGTGTCTACTTTTACAAATGGTAGGCCTTTGTGGGGTTTTTGAACAGTCAAACTGTTATAATACCCCAAATGGAAGCTAAGGCTTATTAAATCCATCTCTCAAAATTCTACTGTGAATACTGTAAAGGACAGGTCTCCTATATGACACTGTAGCTTCACGAAATAGTGCCAAAGACATTCATATGGGGTGTCATTTTACTCAGAAGACTTAGCTGAGCATAATTTGGGGGGTTTGAACTTAGTGGCACATATGAAATATACAAAACGCCCAGCAAAAATGCAATCCGTATGTAAAAAATGCACAAAATAATTTTTTACCACATACTTTGGCATATATTGGTGAAAAAATGGGGGCATGTTAAGGCACAATATGCACCTTATAAGATACCCTGGAGTGTCTACTTTTACAAATGGTAGGCCTTTGTGGGTTTTTTTTGAACAGTCAAACTGTTATAATACCCCAAATGGAAGCTAAGGCTCATTAAATTCATCTCTCAAAATTCTACTGTGAATACTGAAAAGGACAGGTATCCTGTATGGCACTGTAACTTCACGAAATAGTGCAAAAGACATACAATGGGGGTGTCATTTTACTCAGCAGATGTAACTGAACACAAAATAAAACTTTGTACAGGAATAGCACACACCAACTTTACAAAATATACACGAGAATTTCTCTGTTATAAGTTTGTGTGCCAAAAACCAAAAGAACACAATTTTACTCCAATATTTAGCAGAGGTTGGCGGTGAAATGGCTACGTAGAAAGTGTCAAAACAACCTTAGGTAAATAGCCCGTGATGTCTACTTTATATAAATATATACTTTTGTGTGGCAATTTTGTTTTCTTTTATGGCTATTAAGCTTACAAGACAAACATACCAAATTCTAAAATCGCTCTACATTAAAAGTTTATTTTACTCCTTGTGCTTTGTGACCTGTAACTACCAAAAAAAACTTAAAATCCCAGACACATGATATATTCTGTAAATCAGAACAAATAAATAAATTTATTTTTAATTACTTTCCTTAACCTGCACTAATTATGCACACATTATTATTGCAAAAACTGTAAAAAAAAAACAATATTTTTCATTTTTTTTGCATTTTTCTGTATTTTTTTTATAATAAGTAAGCATTTATATATATATATATATATATATATATGTTATATCAAATTAAAGCCCTTTCTGTCCTTTAAAAAACAGTATATAATATGTGTCGGTGCAATAAATGAGAGAGATGCAAATTGCAGTTGAACGCAAACAGCAAGAAAATGCAAAAATTGCTTGTCATTAAGCGTAAGTCAAGCTTCTGAAGCTGTCCTTAAGGGGTTAAGGGGTTAAGGACTGAGCCAAATGTACACGTTGTGATCAAAACAAAACGTAAACAAAAACTTGGAATTTGCGCTATATGTCTGTCCAACCATAATTCACCTCTTTCATATTATGTGCACCCACACCTATTATATATCATTTTATTCAGGTGAAACAGGGCTTTCCTTTAACATCAAATATTTAGCTATGAAACATTTTAATATGAATAAAATATGAAAAAAATGGGAGAAATTTTTTTTTTTTTTAAGTTCTGCATTGCATTTACCTGTGAAGGTCATAATACTATTAGCTTTTACTGCAATGAAATACACATATTTGTATTTAGCGATGTCTCACGTGTAAAACAGTACCCCCTATGTACAGGGTTTATGGTGTTTTGGGAAGTTACAGGGTCAAATATAGCATGTTACATTATTTAATTTTTTTCACATTGAAATTCGCCAGATTGGTTACGTTGTCTTTGAGACCGTATGGTAGCCCAGGACCGAGAATTACCCCCATGATGGCATACCATTTGCAATAGCACACAACCCAAGTTATTGAAAATGGGGTATATCCAGTCTTTTTTAGTAGCCACATGGTCACAAACACTTGCCAAATTTAGCGTTAATATGTTTGTGTGTGAAAAATGCAAAAAACTAATTTGAACGCCAATTTTGGCCAGTGTTTGTGACTAAGTGGCTTCTAAAAAAGGCTGGACATACCCCATTTGCAATACCTTGGGTTGTCTACTATTGCAAATGGTATGCCATCATGGGGGTAATTCTCATTCCTGGGCTACCAGACGATCCAAAAGGCAACGTGACCAATCTGGCGAATTTCAATGTGTTTCAAATAATAGTGTTTCAAAACAGTAAAAGGTATCACAACAAATTATATCGTCAGTGTAAGTGCCATGTGTGTGTGAAAAATGCAAAAAATGTCACTTTCACTGACGATATCATTGTTGTAATACATTTTACTGTTTTGAAACACTAATATTTGTGTTCAGCGAAGTCTCCCGAGTAAAACAGTACCCCCCATGTACAGGTTTTATGGTGTCTTGGAAAGTTATAGGGTTAAATATAGTGCTATATAGACAAAACCAAAAATGTTTGGGATATGGCTGTGAAATCTAAAAATAAGGAACAAAACAAATATATAGTGTAATACAGTTTGGTAAGCAATTATGCGCTCAGTGAAATGTCAAAATTGACTCATAACAACACTGATTGGTTACTTTCCCAGGCTGTGTGAAATTACTCAGAGCACTCTGATTGGTTGGATTTCAAGCTGTGACAGGTAAATGTAGAGACTTGCGTTCTGTTTTTTGGGGGTTTTTTTTCAAAGTGCGACGGGTATTATGGACTTTTATTTGGCCTTTTTTAGGGCTGAAAGAAGAAGATTTTAGAAAAAAAGAAGACCTCAAATGGTAATTTTTATTTAGTTTTTACAGGTATTTAGTTCTCTTGTTCCCCCCTCACTATTTTTAGGTATGTAGGGGTTTATTAATTTTTTTTTGGGTGGGATGACTAGGGGCTTGGGGACGCCTGGTCACCTGAGGGGGAAGTTAATATTTTCATTTAGGGCCCGGGGGAGGACAATAGGTTCCCCTATTTTCATTTAGGGCCCCCACTCGCCGCTCAGGGGTGGGGGAGGGGGCAATAGGTCCCCCCTTCAGTTTAATAGCCCCCACTCGCACGGCACGAGTGGAGGCTCGGGAGGGGGAATACTAGAGGGGTTTTTTTGTAACAGTTCTACAGTTCTGCTCATAATAGATATGTCCCTACTCACTGTATAGCGAGTAGGGGCTGAATTTACTGATAATAAGTAATCTTTACTTAGTATTAGTAAATTTGGCTGAAAGACCAATTTAGGTCTTTCAGCCTTTTGGTAGATAGCTCCCTAATACCGTGGGAATTAGGGAGTTATCTACTAAGCGGCTGCAAGATGCAGCCGCAGCACGAATCGTATCGGAGTTTCATTCATTCTATTGAAATTCTGATACAAACAAAGTCCCGAATTGCGTCCTAACACGAATGGAGAAACTGTTCTCATGCTGTTAGTACGCAATTCGGTAGTTTTGCAGGCGTTCTGTCTAAAATAACAGGACGCTCGGGAAATGTGAAAGGAAGCATCGCGGGAACAGGGCGGATAGCTAAGGCTTATGGGAAAATTTCTCTGACCACCGGAAATGAAGCACACTTTGCTCCTCCGCTGGTCAGAGATGGTCAGGCATAGGAAACCTCCATAAGAGAAATAGTCCCTACTTTGTCTTATGTTTTAATGAAAACTAGAGCAGACAGGAAGAAATTAATAGATCCTGTCAGAGGGACAGAAGAGGAATGGATTTTGGGAAAGGTAAGTTTGGCATGACAGGGCTGTTTTAACATGTAGTGGGATATGCTATGTATAGTTTTTTTGCACTACTTGCCTGTGTGGTGACATTCTGTCATCAAACTAATATGGTGACCAGGGATCATGTGACCAAGCTCTTACAGTGGGATAAACTTTACCTTTTGATATGGTAATTGAGTAATTCAATACCTTTCAGGAAAGAGGTAACCACTTCCCCCTTTCTCCATTCCTCTCTGTTCCTTCTTGGTTGTGCTACTGAGCAGTCCTTTAAGCAGACATGGCCTAATTTCTATCATGGTGAACTGTGAGTGGGATTTTATAAGATGTAGTTGTTATTGTTAGTTAGGTTGTTGTTGCTGTTGGTGGTGGTATAGTTAGTTAGATTGTGTGTCATTATTTGTATGTTGTTGTTGTTTTGTCTCTGAATAAAAATATTTGTTAAAGTAGACGGACCAGAGTTTATATGTGTACATAATAATTTATAGAGTTTGGTAATTTACCACAGCCTGAATACAATAAAAAATATTAACATTAAAAAAAATCCTCTTCCTTCTTTAAAATAGATATTTTCCTGCAATATCCCTTGTGACGTGCTTCCAATAGTGCCCCTCGATCATTGCAGACCCTCTTTATATATTGCATGTAGTATAATTTGTTGAATATAATCATGGTATCATGGACAATACACCTGTATGTCTCTGTGTTTTATCTGCACACACATCGCGTGATGCCAATACCCATTTATACATGGCTTAATTAATATACATCACGTTAGCCGAACACGCAGCTCGCAGGAACACAGGTTATAAAATGCTAAGCTTTCACATTGTTTTCTCTCTTTTGCATTTCTGGAATCCTTTGGCCACCATTGTTATCATAACACGTAGCTCTATTTCTTTAGACTGTAAGCAATTTGAGCAAGACCCTCACCAGCCGTTGTTCCTGTAAGTTAAACCTATCGTGTTGAATTTAGTTCTGTGTGTGCTCCACGTTCAGTGCTGCCATGTTCTAAAACATAATAATATACAGTCACAGGAAAAAGAAAGTACACCCTCTTTGAATTATATTGTTTTCTTTATCAGGACATAATAACCATCAACTGTTCCTTAGCAAGTCTTAAAATTAAGTAAATACAAGCTCAGATGAACACCACGCAACATATTACACAGTGTCATGATTTTTTTAACAAAAATAAAGCCAAAATGGAGAAACCGTGTGAAAAACTAAGTACACCCTTACTGCTTCCACAGTAAGTAAGAGGCTAAGCAGCAGACAGGTGCTGCTAATCAAATACCTTTAATTAATTGATCATCAGCCAGTGTAACCACCTCTATAGAAGCTGAAGGTTTAGCAGTTTGCTGGTCTGGAGCAATGCCACGGAGAAAAGACATCAGGAATGATCTCAGTTTCACAAGATCAGGGCTAGCGGTCGGTCTAGTTCGGTAGTTTAAAACCGAATAAACATAGTCAATATTCTTACCTTGGAGCTTGTTTCCCTTGTTCGTGGAAATGTTTCCACCGAACCGTGTCTTTCTAAGTGTTGTAGAACCAAACGCAGGTGATGCTGGAAGTCCAGCGGTGTTCGGGAGTTTGTGTCCTATTTCAGTTCCATGAAATTGACGACCAAGCACCGCTGCCTGCGTTCGTGCAAACATGATGGCCGTCACCTTGTGGTCGTCCATAGGAATTGCGGCCACCCAGACGAACACTTAGAACACTGCAGTGGAAATTGCTTCAAAGTAGCTATTAGGCTTAACAAGCTCCAAGGCGGTCTCCGGTTCGTGCGGCTGTTTGGTTCCCGAACCATATAGTTCAAATACACGAAAAAAGACTTTTACATGGCCCATAGTCTGTGGGCAGGAGGCTGGCAAGCAGGCTCCTCCAGGAGCTCGTGGCAAAGTCACATGAAAAGGGGAGTTTATCACAGGTGATGACTTGGGCTTGTTTTGCAGGCACAGGACCTGGGAACCTTGCAGTCAGTAAGTCGACCATGAACTCCTCTGTGTACCAAAGACTTCTAGAGTCAAATATGAGGCCATCTGTCTGACAGCTCAAGCTTGGCCGAAATTGGGTCATGTAACAGGTAATGATCCCAAGTACAGCAGCAAATCTGCAACAGAATAGCTGAAAATGAAAAGAATCAAGGTGTTGCAAAGGCCCAGTCAAAGTCCAGACCTCAACCTCAATGAACTGAAGCAACGTTGTAAAGAAGAGTGAGCCAAAATTCCTCCACAACGAGGTGAGAGATGGATAAAGTCATACAGAAATATTACTGCAAGCTATTGCTGCTAAAGGTGGTTCTCCAAGCTTTTACATCCCAAGCAGTAGTTAGACGTTCCCACATGGCTTCTCCTTTTTGGCTTTATTTTTGTTAAATCATGACATATTGTAATATCATCTGTCGTTGTTTATCTCATGTTGTATTTATCCAGTTTTAAGAGCTTCTAAGGAACACATGGTTGTTATTAAGTCCTGATATATAAAACCACAGAATTCAGAGGGCGTCCTTTCTTTTCCCATGATTGTAAAGTGTTTGTTTGTATATTGAGCGCATGGGGTGCTACTATCACTGGTAGAAGTCAGTCTGAGATTCCGGGTGCATTCAGTCTATACACAGACATTACACATGCTTTCTTTCACTCCCACCTCTTGTGGAACAGTTGCAGCTGCAGCCCCCACATGTATTGCGTCATACAGCCCACCTTCAGGGTACCCCAGTCTGCCGTCCCCCACTGTAAAACAGAGGGCAAGATATCACAACATAGTCGCCATTGTTCAGGTAAACTGCGCTCAGAAATCTTCCTCACCAACAAACTTGATTCGTCCAGAGCTGAGCAATTCTGCGTCATCCTGCTGAACGTTCTGAATGGCAGTATTGATGAGGTGATCAATATGATCAACACCAATAACCTTTCCAGTGGATCCCACCTGCAGAGAGAAGAATAGAATATCTGTACAGACAGATCAGTGAGATTCCATCCAGATAAACCTCCGCACATCGCACATGGCACTCACCATCCTGGCAAAGCAAGCCGTGAGGTATCCACTGCCAGAGCCTACATCCAGCGCCCTGGCACCTTCAATCAGCTTCTCCTCCAGCAATTCCAGGGCGTGCGCATGCTGACAGACAGTGACAAGGAAATCCAGGGTTTATCATATTAAGTATTAAATAAAATAAGTGGTCAGTGCGAGGTCACTGCCTATTATTAATGGTCAGACGCTTAGAAACAAATTAATAGTTAAACACTGCGCTGCTCACAACAGAACGCTAATTAAATAAACAGCATCTTTGGCTTAGAAAACGAAAACAAGTCATTAAATATAAAGCCTACCATGTGGGGAGCACTGATTGTAGCCTTATAACCTAAAAGGGCAACAAAAACATACGTTAAATGTACATTTAGTGCGTAAGAAAGTTCTAGATTACAGCAAACTTGTTAATATAACATGACTTTCTCCAAAGATCTGGCCAGAGCAATGGTTTGAAATACTTTTTTAAGACAGGTTTAGGAAAGCTGCAACTCCCAAGAGGATTCGCCAACCATGCTGTTGCTTGTCAGGATTTTTCATTATCCCCTACATTTAACAAGTGTCTGAAAACTAAAATTAAATGTAGAAATTCACACTATTGTACTAAGCAAGCTCTACCCATCTCAGCTCCCTGTCAATCATTGTATCAGTATAGAGAGACAAAGAACAATGAGTGGTATTTATCAACGTGCTATGAAACGTGGCAGTTACATGTCATCATCATTTGATCATATTTATTAAAGTGATCTACAAAGTGACATTTTACTCAGACAGCAAATAAATATACTGGTGGAAAACATCTGCCACCTTGGGAAAACCTAGCACAAAATATTCAGAAATCTGCTGCATCTGAAAACAACCTGCATGTTCAAAAACAACTGTTAGGGTGCAAAACAAGCAACAGACGGGAAAATCAGATAGATTCAATGAATTGTGACAAAAATGAGACAGGAAAGTGTTGGTGAAAATTTGATAAACCTCATTAGCATTGTGTGCCCTGGCAATGCCTGGCCTGAACTGTTTCCAAAGAAATGACAGCTCCTCTGTAAGCAAGGCAAATGTTAAAAAATGTATAAACAGTTTGATAAATTTCTGGGGACTCGACACCAAACCCACTAGAGTTTATTGCAGTGGTTGTGTGCTTATAGTGTCCCCCATTTGATGGCACAGCATGTTATCTAGTGTGTAATATGGAGTTTGGGTATAAAGCTGTTCCTGTGCTGCTGGATATAACGTGCTGCGTGTTTCTTACCTAAACCTTGCGGTGAGTCCACGTACAGTAAATGCTGGGTGTAATGAGCTGCTTGATTCTTACCTATACCTTGCGGTGAGTCCACGTACAGTAAATGCTGGGTGTAATGAGCTGCGTGTTTCTTACCTATACCCTGCGGTGAGTCCACGTACAGTAAATGCTGGGTGTAATGAGCTGCGTGTTTCTTACCTATACCCTGCGGTGAGTCCACGTACAGTAAATGCTGGGTGTAATGAGCTGCGTGATTCTTACCTATACCCTGCGGTGAGTCCACGTACAGTAAATGCTGGGTGTAATGAGCTGCGTGATTCTTACCTAAACCTTGCGGTGAGTCCACGTACAGTAAATGCTGGGTGTAATGAGCTGCGTGATTCTTACCTATACCTTGCGGTGAGTCCACGTACAGTAAATGCTGGGTGTAATGAGCTGCGTGATTCTTACCTATACCTTGCGGTGAGTCCACGTACAGTAAATGCTGGGTGTAATGAGCTGCTTGATTCTTACCTATACCTTGCGGTGAGTCCACGTACAGTAAATGCTGGGTGTAATGAGCTGCGTGATTCTTACCTATACCCTGCGGTGAGTCCACGTACAGTAAATGCTGGGTGTAATGAGCTGCGTGTTTCTTACCTATACCTTGCGGTGAGTCCACGTACAGTAAATGCTGGGTGTAATGAGCTGCGTGTTTCTTACCTAAACCTTGCGGTGAGTCCACGTACAGTAAATGCTGGGTGTAATGAGCTGCGTGTTTCTTACCTATACCTTGCGGTGAGTCCACGTACAGTAAATGCTGGGTGTAATGAGCTGCGTGTTTCTTACCTATACCTTGCGGTGAGTCCACGTACAGTAAATGTTGGGTGTAATGAGCTGCGTGATTCTTACCTATACCCTGCGGTGAGTCCACGTACAGTAAATGCTGGGTGTAATGAGCTGCGTGTTTCTTACCTATACCCTGCGGTGAGTCCACGTACAGTAAATGCTGGGTGTAATGAGCTGCTTGATTCTTACCTATACACTGTGGTAAATGCACGTACAGTAAATGCTGGGTGTAATGAGCTGCGTGATTCTTACCTATACTCTGCGGTGAGTCCATGTATGGGAAATGCTGGACATAACGCGCTCTGTCCGTGGCCATCATAACATCGTACACACGTTGGCGCCTGATCACTCCATTCTCTAGGAGAGAAAAATAGTTTTAAAAAAACAGTCAGCAGAGACTTGGGACATCAAGTAAACATTACTGGAAATTTTGAATTTCACCAAAACCATCTCATTCCTCAGACTGTGGGCTAGCTGTAATCTGAGTGTCTATAGTTATTAAACAAAGTGATAATTTATCAATAAACCCAAAGCTGAGCATTTCATCTCCCTGTAAGGGGAGCTGGCACATTGTGAAGAGCAATGAGATGGGTCGTTACCTGCTCCCGTTCTGTTTTATATCAGGGACCTCTAACATTATCTACACAAAATCAGTTAGATTTCAGATTACAGTAATTACGAGAGCCACAGTTTGCTGAATACAGAAGGAAAGGATTAAATAAAGGAATTTACTCACTGCGAAGATTGTTGACAAGATCTACATGCGTTTTTCCACTTGAAGTCCAAGCCATAGCTCTACTGAGAAGAAATCCAAATGGTAAGGTTATAGCAGCTAGCCGTCCCAGACAGATCATGTCCCCAGGCTGCTCTGTCAATCAGAAAACAACATACAGAGAGCAGAATCAGGTTACTGAACACACGGCAAACCGTCTTCATAAGGACTGCTCGAACCTCTGCCGAGACCATTAGATTGGTTCCTGTTCATTTCAACACTCACCTTGCACAGGAACAAACATTTTACCTGTTTGGGGTTTATTTTAGACAAAGTGAACCCTATTTAAATGCAAATTTACATATTTTAACATCCTCATCATGATACATGAACAGCACACACACTAGATAGGTAAATAACAGATACAGTATTACATTTTACAAGACTACTTAAAATCCCCTAACCCCAATCAAATACGGGGATTCAGTCCCACCAAATGGCCATATTGTATTAAACCCACCACTACTTCATAGTACCCCAATATCGGTGGGTCCTACACTAATAACGTCACTGTACCCCAATATCGGTGGGTCCTACACTAATTACGTCACAGTGGCCCAATATCCGTAAGTCCTACACTAATTACGTCACAGTACCCAAATGAGGGTAGAGAGGGTGATGTGAGAGTGATATGAGAGGAGGGGAGTGATGAGTAAGAAGGAGAGGCTATTATATGATGAGAGAAAGGAGGAGCTATTATGATAGAGAGAGAAGTGATGATGAGAGGAGGATAGTAATAGGTGGCCCGAGGTGATGATGAGAAGGAAGGGGAGAGTGATAATGTGAGGACAGAGTGATATTAGAGAGGGTGATAGGAGAGGATAGGGATGAAAAGGGAGAGGAGTGATGGCAGAGAGGAAGTCGAGAGGGGAAGCGAGGTGATATGATGAGGGGTGATGGCAAGAGAAGTGCTAGTATGTGAGGAATAGGAGTGATGGTGTGTAGAGGCTAGTATTATTAAAGTGATGTGGGAGACTAAATACCTTAATTCCCTAGTGGTCCGGTGGGCTCCCTGGTGGTATGGTGGCCATAATATCCGGTCTACAGAGCTGCAGACCATGAATCTCGCGAGACACAGAGCGTTGCCGTGGTAACCCGCGGCAATGCTCTGATTGATCAGATCTTGCAAGACTCATGGTCTGCAGCTCTGGGGGTTGATGGTGAGGGGGCGGTGATGTGAGGGTGAGAGGGGATGTGAGAGGAGGGTGATGTGAGAGGAGGGGTAGTAGAGAGGGACAGTGAAGAGGCTGGAGAGAGAGGGATGATGATGAGGGGGTATTGAGAGGGGTGATGTGAGGGAGGGGTGTGTTGAGGTGATGATGAGAGAAAAGGGGTATTGATGAGAGGAGTGATGATGAGAGGAAGAGTTATGGTGAGAGGTATTGATGAGGAGGAGGAAGGGAGTTATATGGTGAGAGGGTGGAGAGGGAGGGTGATGATGAAAGAAAGAAAGGGGAGTGATGATTAGAGGTGATGATGAGAGGAAGGGGGAGTTATGTGAGAGGGAGAGGGGGGTGATGGTGAGAGGGAGGGGGTGATGATGAGAGGGGGGTGATGTGAGAGGGGGGGTGATGGGGGAGACTACCTTAATTCCCTGGTGGTCCGGTGGCCATAATATCCAGCGGAGCTGCAGACCATGAAACTCGCGAGACACAGTCAGAGTGTTGCCGCAGACACATGGTCTGCAGCTCTGGGAGGTGATGGTGAGGAGGGGCATCTCACCCAGCGACATATCGTGCAAACTGCTGGGCCCCATCCTGGTGTAGGGTCCTCGGTCAGTGACCCAGGACCCGACACAGTCTTCCCTGGGCACCCCTCGAGTGAGTGGCTCCCGGGGCAGACCGCCCCCCCTTAGTACGCCACTGCCTCCAGGTTATGCAAAGTCTTTGGTCGTCTTGCATGAACCGCACGTTTGAGATCTCCCCAGAATGGCTTGATGATATTAAGGTCAGGCGACTGTGATGGCCACTCCAGAACCTTCACCTTTTTCTGCTGTAACCACTGGAGAGTCAACTTGGCCTTGTGCTTAGGGTCAATATCATGCTGGAAAGTCCAAGAGCATCCCATATGCAGCCTATACGCAGCCCAATGCAAATTCTCTGCCAGTATTTTTTGATAACATGCTGCATTTATCTTCCCTTCAATTTTCACAAGACTCCCCATGCCTTTAGAGCTCACACACCCCCAAAACATCAGTGAGCCACCACCATGCTTTACAGTGGGGATGGTATTCTTTTCACTGTAGGCCTTGTTGTGGTTGTGACCATAAAGCTCTATTTTGGTCTCATCACTCCAAATTACAGTATTCCAGAAGCTGTGAGGCATGTCAAGGTGTCGTTGGGTATATTCTAACTGGGCTTTTTTGTGGCATTGGTGCAGTAAAGGCTTCTTTCTGGCAACTCGACCATGCAGCTCATTTTTGTTTAAGTGTCATTGTCTTGTGCTCCTTGAAACGACCAAACTGTATTTTTCCAGAGCAGCATGCATTTCTCCTGAGGTTACCTGTGTGTTTTTCATTGTATCCCGAACAATTCTTCTGGCAGTTGTGGCTGAAATCTTTCTTGGTCTACATGACCTTGGCTTGATATCAAGAGATCCCCGACTTTTCCACTTCTTAATAAGTGATTGAACAGTACTGACTGGCATTTTTAAGGCTTTGAATATTTTTTATATGCTTTTCCATCTTTACAGAGTTTAATTATCTTGTTACGCAGGTCTTTTGACAGTTCTTTT